GCCATTCAAAAAATTTCCAGACAACCAATGAGCATGGGAGACGTTAAAATCACCAATAACTAAAAATAAATCACACGGGTTTTCATTTATAAATTCACTTACTCGATCGTAGAAGGATGTTAATAGAGATCTGTGATTAGTACCGTGAGCTATATAAGTAAGTATAATGTATAGGTGACGTTGAGTGGCATCGGAATGAGAAACAGTAGGACGCGTGGCGCGTAGCGGTATCGATACCCATACCTCGTCAGCCGGCGCAGGAGCACGCATGTCCATTTTGTGCTGGGTGCATAATTCACGTCGCACGGCAATCAAAACCCCGCCGCCGCGTTCGTGGCCGCTTGAGACATTTCGATCGCACCTAAACACTTCGTATCGGCTATCAAAATATTCACGATCGTAAAAATGTTCATTAAGCCAGGTCTCTGTTATACATACGATATCGTAGTTAGCGTTTAGAATACCATTTAGAAAATCATGAGATTTTGTGCGTAGTCCTCTCGCGTTTTGATAATAAATACTCACATTATAGCTAGAGAATTTGATAAAAGTGCATTGATATAATTGAATTGAATTGGGTTCCACCAACAATAAAACATAATTTGTAGAAAAAAATACATAAAAATTCTTTATTGTTCTCAAATATTGACAATTTTAATTGAGTAAGACAACATGCTACTAATATAATATATAAAAAACCTTTCAACATCACAACATTACACGCCAGTAGTCACTTAATTTTAATAAGGTCACTTTCCTTTGATATTAATATCACTTTAGATGTTTTGTCTTTGCGTACGAATATTTTACAGTCCGATATCCACACAAATGCAAAATCATTTTCTTTGGCTAACAATCGTGCTTGTTTGTGTAGAAGCTTATTTTGAGGCGTAAGATGATCGTTGATGTAAATAGGTTTGGATGGGCCATCCAGTCCTGCATCAGCTGTTGTTAGGCTTCGTCTGACGCGGACTGCTGAAAGCATATCGGACTTACGCTTTTTTTGTGTAAATCTCAAAATGATATTTGGAATTGACGATGAATCATTTGACGTCGCATCGGAATCTCCATCTTTTGGGCTTTGAGGGCTGGTAAAACGTCGCACACGATGAACGTAGTCGATATCAGATGGCGTCAGCGGAAAACTTATCTTAGAGGCGATATTCTGAATAATGCTAAATAGGTTTTCGTTCTTGGTGACTGGAACGCCTGTAATTTCGAGGTTGTTTATTCTTCCTTGCTGTTCCTTGATGCGAAGTTGCTCCGTTAAATCCGTGGTTATGGATCGTAAATCTGTGGTTTCATTCGACAATGATGCCAATCTGTCTAGGTTTTTGTCGTTTGATGATTTCACTAAGGACAATTCACTTTTTAAGAGAGTTTGTTCTTCTGATAATTTTTTTACCGCTTCATTAATATTTAATAATTGTTTTTTGAAGTCACTGAAATCCAGGCGAAGACCTTCCAGTGTCTTATTCAATTGTTCGTTTTGTTCTTCTATTGTAGTTTTAATCATTGACATCATTTTAGTTTGCATATCGGAAGAAATCCCTTCGTTATTGCAATGACACTCGGGGTATTTCCTCTTCAGTTGGGTAAAGTTGGAAGATGGTTCCTCACGTAATCTTGTAAGATCTGGATGAGAACTTGTGTTTTTTATGGGACTCCTCTTGACACTCATTATTGTATTTTTTAAATACACTTTTATAATTTGAGCAACAAAAAGAGTTTATATTTTATTTTTTAGTATGGAAGGTACCCGCGATGTAAATATCACAGGGCATTTAAAAACGACACGATCGCGCGTATAGTCTATCACACTTCCTCTTAGGGAGGTGTAAACCCCGAATCAATCCGGTGATACACGAGCAACGGTAATATCGGCGTAAAGAGCGGGACGCAAATTAAGTCCAAAGATCACCGTCACAACAACTTGTTTGCTGATTTCAACCGAACTGTTTATACACCGAAAGTCTATAGTTTATTGAACTTGATTTAACAATTAAGGTAAAATACTTGTACGCGTCTAACTGTAATGACACTTTGGAGCAGACTGAAATATATGTATTATCATAATAGGTATTTATGATTATTGAATTTTAATGAAAAATTCAGAATTTTACTGTTTTTCATTTTTTTTACGATAGTAAGTACATACTTATTGGAATCCCTGTATTTATTAATAATCAGCTCGCGATAATATTGTTTTTGTAATAATTCTGCAAAATTCAAAGTAAATAATGCAGATTTTTATAGGTAAATCACCCCTTTCATCACCCTACGCCTATATGTATTGCGATGTTGTAGCTAAGAACCAAGTTCCCATCTACTTCTATATGGGAATTCATTATATTCGATTTAGCTATTAGGGCACGGAAGCGCAACAAACAAAATATTTTTCACATCTATAATATTATATTATACTTACTAGTGATCCACCCGGGCATTGTACGGGCGAAATTTATTTTATCAGGATAAAATATAGCCTGTCACTCGGACAAAATGTATTTAAATAAAGAAAAATGTAATAATAAATAATGTAGCTACCTTATGATGAGTTAATATTTGAAACCGGTTCAGTAGTTTGACAGATTATTTGTTACAAACATACAAATCTTGCCTCTTTATAATATTAGTATAGATAGTTAGGATAAGATAAGTATTTAATTGATGAAAAAGATTTAAAAATAAAGTAAGTAATAGGTTTATTTGATTATATTTGTAAAAGTTACTTAGCATTTGTGCTTAACAGTGATACATTATTCGGTATTTTTTTAAACAAAAAAAAAATTTGGAAAATAATTGCCATGATTGCCCTTCTGGGAGTACTCTTCATTCGAGCTTTACACTACCAATAAAAAAGGGTCGATCACAAAGTCTTTGACCTGTTATATGTAAACGCTTTAAAAGAAAACTACAAAGAGAACTATAAATTGATAATAAATGAGATTGCTATGGTGCTCTACCTAACGTTATGAAAATTTTATTATGCGCCTTTAGTTTAATCAAATATTATAAACTTTGCTTTGGTGATTGCATAATTATTTAATTTAGTGATCTAAGGCAGTTGCCACCATTGTCCAAAACAACAAACGGGAATTTCTGCTTTTTCTTTACTGACAACATAAACGTCATTGATTGGTATTGTATATCCCTATATAATTTAATCACCCTTGATTAAAAACATTTGAAGTTAACTTCTGGCATCTACATATTGGGTTTCTGTGAATTATGTAGGTATATCAAATTATGAGACTAGGGACTGACACTGCATTTGTGTATATCACAATCTTAGACGTCCGGCATTGACATGACAATGCAACCACTGCCAATTTTAAATAGTCGACTAATAAAAGTAAATGAATTTTATATTTACTGCTAAACTATTAAAAAAAAACAAAGACAAAAGATGACTTTTTGAGTAAGTTCCAGTTTACTATAAAATTTACATACATTAGAGATATTTCTGTAACGACTTGATTTAACTTCACACATTTTTGCGAAAATTGAGGCCCTATATGTGTCTTAATAAATCAATCTTTTAGACCGACGCAAGGTACTTAATAATTCCCGCGATATTAATTCCCTTACAGAAGTAACAAGACTACGGTATATACCGTCTTAAAATACTAACTAAAAAGTGTGAAATAAAAAAGGTAAATTTAAAAAATCAAAAAACCCGACTGCTTAATTATACTTCAAATAAAAACTGAAAAGAAAAAAACAAGTCCAGTACTCTATAATTCTGTTAATAAGGAACAAAGATACTTTAACAGTCGGGACCCACTGTTGAGAAATATTATGTATTCTTGAATATCTAATGGGTCCCGACTGTTAAAGTAGCTTTGTTCCTTATTAACAGAATTATAGACTACTGAACTTGTTTTTTTCTTTTCAGTTTTCAGTTTTTATTTGAAGTATAATTAAGCAGTCGGGTTTTTTGATTTTTTAAATTTACCTTTTTAAAAAGTCTACTGAGTAATCACACTCCATAATCACTCGAATTGGTTGTCGTTGGTACCGGCTGCATCTGCAGTCAATCCGCACTGGGCCTGTGCCCCAGCAGTGGAGACATTAATAGGCTGTTGAAATTGTATTTTGTCCCTTTATAAGAAAAAAATAGAAACATTACCAACACTTTTGGATTTTAAGGTCGGAAATAAATGTTTTTATTATTATTATTTAAGTTACAGCTACCATTAGCATTGCCGATCGATAGTCGACTTTCGATGATTAATCGATAGTCTATCGATAGCCAATCAATCGTATGACAATCGATCGGCTTATCGATACTATCGATAGCACAGAAAAAGCCAATACTATCGGATGAGTTAAATACTATATATTGTAGTTCGTCAATAACAAACTATCGATAGTATCGATACTGTCGATTTTATTTGCAACCATACTATCGATAGTTTAACAATTTGCAATAGTATTGTTTACAATTTTCAGGTATTATAGTCAATCACAATCGCTAGTGTCGATACTATCGATAGTTTTGTTGCAGATAAAATCAACACTATCGATACTATCAATAGTTTGTCATTAACGAAGTACAATAGTATCGATAGCATTGCACTCATTCGATAGTATTGCCTTATCTTGAGCTATCGATAATATCGGTAGTATCGATTCTATCGATAGGGTACATGATTTTCGATGTAAACTGTCGATAGTTTAAATGCGGTGACGTTATGCCTATTTATTTAGCTCAAACCAAATCTACTAGCGCGATGCAAACAACTACAGCGCCATCTATTTCCATACATATGAACTACAATTCCCAAGTTTGTTTTAATAGTCAACATACTTTATTTCTTATTAATTATTTATTGCTCTTATAATTAGTTAGGTAATTTTATATTTAAATTGAAACACATGCAGAAATAGCGTATACAATGCTAGTAGATTGATTCTTCTTTTCGTTTACAACTAAAAATAGTTTGAAATCACCATAATTCCTACCAATACCATGGTGCCCCAAATAAAACAATTTGTTAATAAATAACTCTCATTTATTGTATTTTTTTGCCAAGCATAATACCATTATACTTAATTTTTTAACTTGCTCAATATAAAATACATATAAGAAGAATGTACATCCTTCTTTTTTTTAATTAGACCATTGTTTTTTCCAAATGTTTTCTGTCCTTAAACTGGCCTTACACAGTCTAAATCAGAATCTAGATTCGTAAGATGAATTCTTATATTAATTCCATACATTATACGACGAGCACACACAATGGAATCAGATTATGAATTTTTCAATTAATATAATCTCAGTAATGTGTGATGGCGATTATACTTATTTAACAAATAAATAAACAAATATTTCTAACACTCACACCAATAAACCTAGTCCCAAAGTAAGCACTGTAAGGCTTGTGTTATGGGATACTAGGGCAAAGGGTAGAATACATATAGAAACTAGAAGAATATATATATAAACTAAAGAATAAGTATCTAGAAATACATATAAACATCCATAACTTAGGTTACAAATGCTCGCATTCATCGTACAAAAATTTGCCTCGCCGGGATTCGAACCCGGGACCTTTGTGTAGGCGACACTTTTAAACCCGGCATACATACCGAACGGCCACGGATGTCGTTTAAATACTTTAGCGAGGTATTTGAACAAACGGAATTTTTAAGACTTGTGTGAATCAAAGAACCGGAGTTGAAATAAAGGATTTATATTATGAATGCAACGAATTAGAAATGACATGAAATACGAACTGCGCTGAAAAGTGGATGAACGCGATAAATTGATTGGTTGCATCAACACGCCGATCATGGGATTGGTTAGAATTTTCGTTTAACATTATCTTACCCAATGAATGGATAGCCGAATCCGGTATTCGATTTGTCAAATTATGTTGTTTTGTCGAGGACTTTTTGGCGGGATCGGGTAGCGTCACTTTAGCAGTTTTGTTTTTCTTGTTAAAAATTGTGTAGTGGCGGATGTAAGTGTCTAATAATGGTGGATTATTAACCACTAAGTGTTCGAGAACATGCACAAGTGTTGGCAAGTGAAACAAAATAGCGGAAAGTGTCTTTCGACGTTCCACCAAGACGTCCACGGGGAGGTTCCAGTAAATCCCCACACATTTACTGAAACATAGGGAAAGGGGGTTTGACTTGACTGCCACTTACTTTGACTTGATTTATTACTTTGACCACGAGTGCTATAGGATTTGTAAACATTTTAAACTTGACATTGGCTAAATGCACAAGCCGTGCGAAGCTATTTAGAAAAAAAAAGTTTTGTCGAATGAGTTAGGCACCATGTTTCAGCGGCCTTTGTTAGAAGTAATGCTTTCATATCCTTTCTTAATCGTTGTATGAATCCAAATTCTGATTGGGCTGTGTAAGGCAAGTCACTTTGTCATCGCGTTTTCTTCACTCTAAGAACACGGATATATGACGTCTCAAATACAAAGGTACTTTGTCCAAACTGTCCCAGCAGAAACAATACTTTTCTTTCTGAGGTTTCTGTGGCTTATTTGGTTTTTTACAACCAGGTTTACCTGTGAAAAGAAAAATCTCGTTATATACCTAATACCTTGGAGAAATCTGCTCAAGTTTAGTGTTTCAGAATTTAGTGTATCAAATCTAGAAGTTTAACGCTAAGAATCGTCTTCTAATCATGTAACGAACCTTTATGCCCGAGATTAAGTTTAATAACGCACCAAAAAAGAAATTCACCTATCACTGTAAGATAGTACAAAAAAAATGAAGGACTTGACCATCTATCAGATACACTAATAAATTTTTGTGAAATTGGATTTAAATCAATTTGAGGTCTGACACGTTATTGCATCTTTGTCATTTGTAAGTCAATATAATTACGTTTTTTAAAGAACTTTGGGTTAAGTGGCCCATCAAAATGTAGTATTAATAATAAAAAGCCATTTTACCTGGTTGCTGTGGCTGTTGTGGTTGCTGCGGCTGTTGTGGTTGCTGCGGCTGTTGTGGTTGCTGAGGCTGTTGTGGTTGCTGATGCTGTTGTGATAGCTGCGGTTGTTGTGGTTGCTGAGGCTGTTGTGGCTGCTGAGGCTGTTGTGGTTGCTGCGGTTGCTGAGGTTGCTGCAGCTGTTGTGGAATCTGTGGTTGCTGTGGCTGTTGTGGTTGCTGCGGCTGTTGTGGTTGCTGCGGTTGTTGTGGTTGCTGAGGCTGTTGTGGAGTCTGTGGTTGCTGTGGCTGTTGTGGCTGCTGATGCTGTTGTGGAATCTGTGGTTGCTGCGGCTGTTGTGGAATCTGTGGTTGCTGCGGCTGTTGTGGTTGCTGCGGCTGTTGTGGTTGCTGAGGCTGTTGTGGTTGCTGCGGCTGTTGTGGAGTCTGTGGTTGCTGTGGCTGTTGTGGCTGCTGATGCTGTTGTGGAATCTGTGGTTGCTGCGGCTGTTGTGGAATCTGTGGTTGCTGCGGCTGTTGTGGTTGCTGAGGCTGTTGTGGCTGTTGTGGTTGCTGCGGTTGTTGTGGCTGCTGAGGCTGTTGTGGAGTCTGTGGTTGCTGTGGCTGTTGTGGTTGCTGAGGCTGTTGTGGTTGCTGCGGCTGTTGTGGAGTCTGTGGTTGCTGTGGCTGTTGTGGTTGCTGCGGCTGTTGTGGAGTCTGTGGTTGCTGTGGCTGTTGTGGCTGCTGAGGCTGTTGTGGAATCTGTGGTTGCTGCGGCTGTTGTGGTTGCTGCGGTTGTTGTGGTTGCTGCGGTTGCTGTGGCTGTTGTGGTTGCTGCGGTTGTTGTGGCTGCTGAGGCTGTTGTGGTTGCTGCGGCTGTTGTGGAGTCTGTGGTTGCTGTGGCTGTTGTGGCTGCTGAGGCTGTTGTGGAATCTGTGGTTGCTGCGGCTGTTGTGGTTGCTGCGGTTGTTGTGGCTGTTGTGGTTGCTGCGGCTGTTGTGGTTGCTGCGGCTGTTGTGGTTGCTGCGGCTGTTGTGGAGTCTGTGGTTGCTGTGGCTGTTGTGGCTGCTGAGGCTGTTGTGGAATCTGTGGTTGCTGCGGCTGTTGTGGTTGCTGCGGCTGTTGTGGTTGCTGCGGTTGTTGTGGCTGTTGTGGCTGCTGAGGCTGTTGTGGAATCTGTGGTTGCTGCGGCTGTTGCGGAATCTGTGGTTGCTGAGGCTGTTGTGGAATCTGTGGTTGCTGCGGCTGTTGTGGTTGCTGCGGCTGTTGTGGAATCTGTGGTTGTTGTGGTTGCTGAGGCTGTTGCGGTTGCTGCGGCTGTTGTGGTTGCTGTGGCTGTTGTGGAGTCTGTGGTTGCTGTGGCTGTTGAGGCTGCTGAGGCTGTTGTGGAATCTGTGGTTGCTGCGGCTGTTGCGGTTGCTGCGGCTGTTGTGGAGTCTGTGGTTGCTGTGGCTGTTGAGGCTGCTGAGGCTGTTGTGGAATCTGTGGTTGCTGCGGCTGTTGAGGCTGCTGAGGCTGTTGTGGAATCTGTGGTTGCTGCGGCTGTTGCGGTTGCTGCGGCTGTTGTGGAGTCTGTGGTTGCTGTGGCTGTTGAGGCTGCTGAGGCTGTTGTGGAATCTGTGGTTGCTGCGGCTGTTGTGGTTGCTGCGGCTGTTGTGGTTGCTGCGGTTGTTGTGGAGTCTGTGGTTGCTGTGGCTGTTGTGGCTGCTGAGGCTGTTGTGGTTGCTGCGGCTGTTGTGGAGTCTGTGGTTGCTGTGGCTGTTGTGGCTGCTGAGGCTGTTGTGGTTGCTGCGGCTGTTGTGGTTGCTGCGGCTGTTGTGGTTGCTGCGGCTGTTGTGGTTGCTGCGGCTGTTGTGGTTGCTGCGGTTGTTGTGGCTGTTGTGGCTGCTGAGGCTGTTGTGGCTGCTGAGGCTGTTGTGGAATCTGTGGTTGCTGCGGCTGTTGTGGTTGCTGCGGCTGTTGTGGTTGCTGCGGCTGTTGTGGTTGCTGCGGCTGTTGTGGTTGCTGCGGCTGTTGTGGTTGCTGCGGCTGTTGTGGAGTCTGTGGTTGCTGTGGCTGTTGTGACTGCTGAGGCTGTTGTGGAATCTGTGGTTGCTGCGGCTGTTGTGGTTGCTGCGGTTGTTGTGGCTGTTGTGGTTGCTGCGGCTGTTGTGGTTGCTGCGGCTGTTGTGGTTGCTGCGGCTGTTGTGGTTGCTGCGGCTGTTGTGGTTGCTGCGGCTGTTGTGGTTGCTGCGGCTGTTGTGGTTGCTGCGGCTGTTGTGGAGTCTGTGGTTGCTGTGGCTGTTGTGGCTGCTGAGGCTGTTGTGGAATCTGTGGTTGCTGCGGCTGTTGTGGTTGCTGCGGTTGTTGTGGCTGTTGTGGTTGCTGCGGCTGTTGTGGTTGCTGCGGCTGTTGTGGTTGCTGCGGCTGTTGTGGTTGCTGCGGCTGTTGTGGTTGCTGCGGCTGTTGTGGTTGCTGCGGCTGTTGTGGTTGCTGCGGCTGTTGTGGAGTCTGTGGTTGCTGTGGCTGTTGTGGCTGCTGAGGCTGTTGTGGAATCTGTGGTTGCTGCGGCTGTTGTGGTTGCTGCGGCTGTTGCGGTTGCTGCGGCTGTTGTGGAGTCTGTGGTTGCTGTGGCTGTTGAGGCTGCTGAGGCTGTTGTGGAATCTGTGGTTGCTGCGGCTGTTGTGGTTGCTGCGGCTGTTGTGGTTGCTGCGGTTGTTGTGGAGTCTGTGGTTGCTGTGGCTGTTGTGGCTGCTGAGGCTGTTGTGGTTGCTGCGGCTGTTGTGGAGTCTGTGGTTGCTGTGGCTGTTGTGGCTGCTGAGGCTGTTGTGGTTGCTGCGGCTGTTGTGGTTGCTGCGGCTGTTGTGGTTGCTGCGGCTGTTGTGGTTGCTGCGGCTGTTGTGGTTGCTGCGGTTGTTGTGGCTGTTGTGGCTGCTGAGGCTGTTGTGGCTGCTGAGGCTGTTGTGGAATCTGTGGTTGCTGCGGCTGTTGTGGTTGCTGCGGCTGTTGTGGTTGCTGCGGCTGTTGTGGTTGCTGCGGCTGTTGTGGTTGCTGCGGCTGTTGTGGTTGCTGCGGCTGTTGTGGAGTCTGTGGTTGCTGTGGCTGTTGTGGCTGCTGAGGCTGTTGTGGAATCTGTGGTTGCTGCGGCTGTTGTGGTTGCTGCGGTTGTTGTGGCTGTTGTGGTTGCTGCGGCTGTTGTGGTTGCTGCGGCTGTTGTGGTTGCTGCGGCTGTTGTGGTTGCTGCGGCTGTTGTGGTTGCTGCGGCTGTTGTGGTTGCTGCGGCTGTTGTGGAGTCTGTGGTTGCTGTGGCTGTTGTGGCTGCTGAGGCTGTTGTGGAATCTGTGGTTGCTGCGGCTGTTGTGGTTGCTGCGGCTGTTGTGGTTGCTGCGGCTGTTGTGGAGTCTGTGGTTGCTGTGGCTGTTGTGGCTGCTGAGGCTGTTGTGGAATCTGTGGTTGCTGCGGCTGTTGTGGTTGCTGCGGCTGTTGTGGTTGCTGCGGCTGTTGTGGAGTCTGTGGTTGCTGTGGCTGTTGTGGCTGCTGAGGCTGTTGTGGAATCTGTGGTTGCTGCGGCTGTTGTGGTTGCTGAGGCTGTTGTGGTTGCTGCGGTTGTTGTGGCTGTTGTGGTTGCTGCGGCTGTTGTGGAGTCTGTGGTTGCTGTGGCTGTTGTGGCTGCTGAGGCTGTTGTGGAATCTGTGGTTGCTGCGGCTGTTGTGGTTGCTGCGGTTGTTGTGGCTGTTGTGGCTGCTGAGGCTGTTGTGGAATCTGTGGTTGCTGCGGCTGTTGTGGTTGCTGAGGCTGTTGTGGTTGCTGCGGCTGTTGTGGTTGCTGAGGATGTTGTGGTTGCTGAGGCTGTTGTGGCTGCTGAGGCTGTTGTGGAATCTGTGGTTGCTGCGGCTGTTGTGGTTGCTGCGGCTGTTGTGGTTGCTGCGGTTGTTGTGGCTGTTGTGGTTGCTGCGGCTGTTGTGGAGTCTGTGGTTGCTGTGGCTGTTGTGGCTGCTGAGGCTGTTGTGGAATCTGTGGTTGCTGCGGCTGTTGTGGTTGCTGCGGTTGTTGTGGCTGTTGTGGTTGCTGCGGCTGTTGTGGTTGCTGCGGCTGTTGTGGTTGCTGCGGCTGTTGTGGTTGCTGCGGCTGTTGTGGTTGCTGCGGCTGTTGTGGTTGCTGCGGCTGTTGTGGAGTCTGTGGTTGCTGTGGCTGTTGTGGCTGCTGAGGCTGTTGTGGTTGCTGCGGCTGTTGTGGTTGCTGCGGCTGTTGTGGTTGCTGCGGCTGTTGTGGTTGCTGCGGCTGTTGTGGAGTCTGTGGTTGCTGTGGCTGTTGTGGCTGCTGAGGCTGTTGTGGAATCTGTGGTTGCTGCGGCTGTTGTGGTTGCTGCGGCTGTTGTGGTTGCTGCGGCTGTTGTGGAGTCTGTGGTTGCTGTGGCTGTTGTGGCTGCTGAGGCTGTTGTGGAATCTGTGGTTGCTGCGGCTGTTGTGGTTGCTGCGGCTGTTGTGGTTGCTGCGGCTGTTGTGGAGTCTGTGGTTGCTGTGGCTGTTGTGGCTGCTGAGGCTGTTGTGGAATCTGTGGTTGCTGCGGCTGTTGTGGTTGCTGAGGCTGTTGTGGTTGCTGCGGTTGTTGTGGCTGTTGTGGTTGCTGCGGCTGTTGTGGAGTCTGTGGTTGCTGTGGCTGTTGTGGCTGCTGAGGCTGTTGTGGAATCTGTGGTTGCTGCGGCTGTTGTGGTTGCTGCGGTTGTTGTGGCTGTTGTGGTTGCTGCGGCTGTTGTGGTTGCTGCGGCTGTTGTGGTTGCTGCGGCTGTTGTGGTTGCTGCGGTTGTTGTGGCTGTTGTGGCTGCTGAGGCTGTTGTGGCTGCTGAGGCTGTTGTGGAATCTGTGGTTGCTGCGGCTGTTGTGGTTGCTGAGGCTGTTGTGGTTGCTGCGGCTGTTGTGGTTGCTGAGGATGTTGTGGTTGCTGAGGCTGTTGTGGAGTCTGTGGTTGCTGCGGCTGTTGTGGTTGCTGCGGCTGTTGTGGTTGCTGCGGCTGTTGTGGAGTCTGTGGTTGCTGTGGCTGTTGTGGCTGCTGAGGCTGTTGTGGAATCTGTGGTTGCTGCGGCTGTTGTGGTTGCTGCGGCTGTTGTGGTTGCTGCGGCTGTTGTGGAGTCTGTGGTTGCTGTGGCTGTTGTGGCTGCTGAGGCTGTTGTGGAATCTGTGGTTGCTGCGGCTGTTGTGGTTGCTGCGGCTGTTGTGGTTGCTGCGGCTGTTGTGGAGTCTGTGGTTGCTGTGGCTGTTGTGGCTGCTGAGGCTGTTGTGGAATCTGTGGTTGCTGCGGCTGTTGTGGTTGCTGCGGCTGTTGTGGTTGCTGAGGCTGTTGTGGTTGCTGCGGTTGTTGTGGCTGTTGTGGTTGCTGCGGCTGTTGTGGAGTCTGTGGTTGCTGTGGCTGTTGTGGCTGCTGAGGCTGTTGTGGAATCTGTGGTTGCTGCGGCTGTTGTGGTTGCTGCGGTTGTTGTGGCTGTTGTGGTTGCTGCGGCTGTTGTGGTTGCTGCGGCTGTTGTGGTTGCTGCGGCTGTTGTGGAGTCTGTGGTTGCTGTGGCTGTTGTGGCTGCTGAGGCTGTTGTGGAATCTGTGGTTGCTGCGGCTGTTGTGGTTGCTGCGGCTGTTGTGGTTGCTGCGGCTGTTGTGGTTGCTGTGGTTGTTGTGGAGTCTGTGGTTGCTGTGGCTGTTGTGGCTGCTGAGGCTGTTGTGGAATCTGTGGTTGCTGCGGCTGTTGCGGAATCTGTGGTTGCTGAGGCTGTTGTGGAATCTGTGGTTGCTGCGGCTGTTGTGGTTGCTGCGGCTGTTGTGGTTGCTGCGGCTGTTGTGGTTGCTGCGGTTGTTGTGGCTGTTGTGGCTGCTGAGGCTGTTGTGGAATCTGTGGTTGCTGCGGCTGTTGTGGAATCTGTGGTTGCTGCGGCTGTTGTGGTTGCTGCGGCTGTTGTGGTTGCTGCGGCTGTTGTGGTTGCTGAGGCTGTTGTGGCTGCTGAGGCTGTTGTGGTTGCTGCGGCTGTTGTGGAGTCTGTGGTTGCTGTGGCTGTTGTGGCTGCTGAGGCTGTTGTGGAATCTGTGGTTGCTGCGGCTGTTGTGGTTGCTGCGGCTGTTGTGGTTGCTGCGGCTGTTGTGGTTGCTGAGGCTGTTGTGGTTGCTGAGGCTGTTGTGGCTGCTGAGGCTGTTGTGGTTGCTGCGGCTGTTGTGGAGTCTGTGGTTGCTGTGGCTGTTGTGGCTGCTGAGGCTGTTGTGGAATCTGTGGTTGCTGCGGCTGTAGCGGAATCTGTGGTTGCTGAGGCTGTTGTGGAATCTGTGGTTGCTGAGGCTGTTGTGGCTGCTGAGGCTGTTGCGGTTGCTGCGGCTGTTGTGGTTGCTGTGGCTGTTGTGGAGTCTGTGGTTGCTGTGGCTGTTGAGGCTGCTGAGGCTGTTGTGGAATCTGTGGTTGCTGCGGCTGTTGTGGAATCTGTGGTTGCTGCGGCTGTTGTGGTTGCTGCGGCTGTTGTGGTTGCTGCGGCTGTTGTGGTTGCTGAGGCTGTTGTGGTTGCTGAGGCTGTTGTGGCTGCTGAGGCTGTTGTGGTTGCTGCGGCTGTTGTGGAGTCTGTGGTTGCTGTGGCTGTTGTGGCTGCTGAGGCTGTTGTGGAATCTGTGGTTGCTGCGGCTGTTGTGGTTGCTGCGGCTGTTGTGGTTGCTGCGGTTGTTGTGGCTGTTGTGGCTGCTGAGGATGTTGTGGTTGCTGCGGCTGTTGCGGTTGCTGCGGCTGCTGTGGTTGTTGTGGTTGCTGCGGCTGCTGTGGTTGCTGCGGTTGTTGCGGTTGCTGAGGATGTTGTGGTTGCTGCGGCTGCTGTGGTTGCTGAGGCTGTTGTGGTTGCTGTGGTTGTTGTGGTTGCTGCGGTTGTTGCGGTTGCTGAGGATGTTGCGGTTGCTGCGGCTGTTGTGGTTGCTGCGGCTGCTGTGGTTGCTGAGGCTGTTGTGGATGTTTTGGATGTCTCGGATGTCTTACAGGTTTCGGATGCTTGGGATGCTTTGGATGACTATGGTGATGATGTGGTCTGTGTGGCTTATGTGGCTTGTGTGAACCACATCCTGGTTTACCTGCAAAAGGGGATTTCACGTTACTTTGAAAGTATATTTTTTCTATCAGTAGAGACTACCCTTTTTTATACTATGTGGATAGGTTTTGAGTTTGAAATCAGCACATTGTTATGTAGATAACATTGTTTAATAATAATATATTGTATAAAATATAAAATATTGTATAAAATCGATACAACTTTAAGATCCTTTTTGTGTACATGTATGAGACAGTGGACCACAGTCCTTCGTCAGCCAGACTGTGGAGATAACCCCTTGGATCCGTCGGATGGTATAAGGATAGATGCATCTTTCAGGGTGACAGTCTGTGCCCATTGTGATTTTACTTAGCCCTAAATCCTCTTAGCACTTTGCTGAGGGAAACAGGGCTGGGCTGCCGTCTCCGGAGAGGTGGGGAGATCATTTCTCACTTGCTTTACATGGATGACCTAAAATTATTTGCACAAAAACAACCACACTTGATAAAACTACTAAAAATTACAGAAGTTTTCAGTAGTTCTATCGGGATGGAGTTTGGTGTCGATAAGTGCGTGGTCATGCATGTACAGCGAGAGAAAATGGTGGCACTTTTGATTTTGGACCAAAATGGATGATGTCCTTTGGAAAATTATTACCAGCTTCGGGAAAACAGTTGAATGTATTGAACCTATTATTTTAAAAAAAACTGTAACTTGATTCAGTTACCCTGACCACCGATTTTGTAAAAGAATTTCAAAACAATACAGCAAAAAATTGTACCCCTTTGATAGTAGCACTATTATTAACAAATTTAATCTGATTAAACTCTGAAGTGTTTGCACCTCAACTTTAAAAAGACATTTGCTACCTTAAACTTTAACAATGACTATTAAGGCACTTGAACACTAAACTATGTTATTATAAAATTTCTAAATGAAGGTGCTCAAGAACTGAATGTAAAAATCGTAGGTAATTATTTAGCGACATTTTCCACTGGTGAGTGGAGAATGTACTATAAGTTATGTTGTCATCGAAACGTAGTGTTAATAACGATGAGTTTCTAACCTGTCTGTTGTGGTTGCTGAGGCTGTTGTGGTTGCTGCGGCTGTTGTGGTTGCTGTGGTTGCTGCGGCTGCTGTGGCTGCTGAGGCTGCTGCGGCTGCTGTGGTTGCTGCGGCTGTTGTGGTTGCTGTGGTTGCTGAGGCTGTTGTGGTTGCTGTGGCTGCTGTGGTTGCTGCGGCTGCTGTGGTTGCTGCGGTTGTTGTGGTTGCTGCGGCTGTTGTGGTTGCTGCGGCTGTTGTGGTTGCTGCGGCTGTTGTGGTTGCTGCGGCTGCTGTGATTGCTGAGGCTGTTGTGGTTGCTGCGGTTGTTGTGGTTGCTGCGGCTGTTGTGGTTGCTGCGGCTGCTGTGATTGCTGAGGCTGTTGTGGTTGCTGCGGTTGTTGTGGTTGTTGTGGTTGCTGCGGCTGCTGTGGTTGCTGAGGCTGTTGTGGTTGCTGTGGTTGCTGAGGCTGTTGTGGTTGCTGTGGCTGCTGTGGTTGCTGCGGCTGCTGTGGTTGCTGCGGTTGTTGTGGTTGCTGCGGCTGTTGTGGTTGCTGCGGCTGTTGTGGTTGCTGCGGCTGCTGTGATTGCTGAGGCTGTTGTGGTTGCTGCGGTTGTTGTGGTTGTTGTGGTTGCTGCGGCTGCTGTGGTTGCTGAGGCTGCTGTGGTTGCTGTGGTTGCTGAGGCTGTTGTGGTTGCTGTGGTTGCTGCGGCTGCTGCGGCTGCTGTGGTTGCTGAGGCTGTTGTGGTTGCTGAGGCTGTTGTGGAATCTGTGGTTGCTGCGGCTGTTGTGGTTGCTGCGGCTGCTGTGGTTGTTGTGGTTGCTGCGGTTGTTGCGGTTGCTGAGGATGTTGTGGCTGCTGAGGCTGTTGTGGTTGCTGTGGCTGCTGAGGCTGCTGTGGCTGCTGCGGTTGCTGCGGCTGCTGTGGTTGCTGAGGCTGTTGTGGTTGCTGTGGCTCTTCAGGTTCTTGTGGTTGCTGAGGCTGTTGTGGCTGCTGAGGCTGTTGTGGAATCTGTGGTTGCTGCGGCTGTTGTGGTTGCTGCGGCTGTTGTGGTTGCTGCGGTTGTTGTGGCTGTTGTGGAATCTGTGGTTGCTGCGGCTGTTGCGGAATCTGTGGTTGCTGCGGCTGTTGTGGTTGCTGCGGCTGTTGTGGTTGCTGCGGTTGTTGTGGTTGCTGCGGCTGTTGTGGTTGCTGCGGTTGTTGTGGCTGTTGTGGAATCTGTGGTTGCTGCGGCTGTTGCGGAATCTGTGGTTGCTGCGGCTGTTGTGGAGTCTGTGGTTGCTGTGGCTGTTGCGGTTGTTGTGGTTGCTGCGGTTGTTGTGGCTGCTGAGGCTGTTGTGGCTGCTGAGGCTGTTGTGGTTGCTGCGGCTGTTGTGGAGTCTGTGGTTGCTGTGGCTGTTGTGGCTGCTGAGGCTGTTGTGGAATCTGTGGTTGCTGAGGCTGTTGTGGCTGCTGCGGCTGTTGTGGTTGCTGCGGCTGTTGTGGTTGCTGCGGCTGTTGTGGAGTCTGTGGTTGCTGTGGCTGTTGTGGCTGCTGAGGCTGTTGTGGAATCTGTGGTTGCTGAGGCTGTTGTGGCTGCTGCGGCTGTTGTGGAGTCTGTGGTTGCTGTGGCTGTTGTGGCTGCTGAGGCTGTTGTGGAATCTGTGGTTGCTGCGGCTGTTGTGGTTGCTGCGGTTGTTGTGGCTGCTGCGGCTGTTGTGGTTGCTGCGGCTGTTGTGGTTGCTGCGGTTGTTGTGGCTGCTGCGGCTGTTGTGGTTGCTGAGGCTGTTGTGGTTGCTGCGGTTGCTGCGGCTGCTGTGGCTGCTGAGGCTGTTGTGGAATCTGTGGTTGTTGTGGCTGCTGCGGCTGTTGTGGAGTCTGTGGTTGCTGCGGCTGTTGTGGTTGCTGCGGTTGTTGTGGTTGCTGAGGCTGTTGTGGTTGCTGCGGTTGCTGCGGCTGCTGTGGCTGCTGCGGTTGCTGCGGCTGCTGTGGCTGCTGAGGCTGTTGTGGAATCTGTGGTTGTTGTGGTTGCTGCGGCTGTTGTGGTTGCTGCGGCTGTTGTGGTTGCTGCGGCTGCTGTGGTTGCTGCGGTTGTTGTGGTTGCTGCGGCTGTTGTGGTTGCTGCGGTTGTTGTGGCTGCTGCGGCTGTTGTGGAGTCTGTGGTTGCTGTGGTTGCTGAGGCTGTTGTGGTTGCTGCGGCTGTTGTGGTTGCTGCGGCTGTTGTGGTTGCTGCGGTTGTTGTGGCTGTTGTGGAATCTGTGGTTGCTGCGGCTGTTGTGGAGTCTGTGGTTGCTGCGGTTGTTGTGGAGACTGTGGTTGCTGTGGCTGTTGTGGCTGCTGAGGCTGTTGTGGAATCTGTGGTTGCTGCGGCTGTTGCGGAATCTGTGGTTGCTGCGGCTGTTGTGGAGTCTGTGGTTGCTGTGGCTGTTGCGGTTGTTGTGGTTGCTGCGGTTGTTGTGGAGTCTGTGGTTGCTGTGGCTGTTGTGGAATCTGTGGTTGTTGTGGTTGCTGAGGCTGTTGTGGCTGCTGAGGCTGTTGTGGTTGCTGCGGTTGTTGTGGTTGCTGAGGCTGTTGTGGTTGCTGTGGCTGTTGTGGCTGCTGAGGCTGTTGTGGAATCTGTGGTTGCTGCGGCTGTTGTGGAATCTGTGGTTGCTGCGGCTGTTGTGGTTGCTGCGGCTGTTGTGGTTGCTGCGGCTGTTGTGGTTGCTGAGGCTGTTGCGGTTGCTGCGGCTGTTGTGGAGTCTGTGGTTGCTGTGGCTGTTGTGGCTGCTGAGGCTGTTGTGGAATCTGTGGTTGCTGCGGCTGTTGTGGAATCTGTGGTTGCTGCGGCTGTTGTGGTTGCTGCGGTTGCTGCGGCTGCTGTGGCTGCTGCGGTTGCTGCGGCTGCTGTGGCTGCTGAGGCTGTTGTGGAATCTGTGGTTGTTGTGGTTGCTGCGGCTGTTGTGGTTGCTGCGGCTGTTGTGGTTGCTGCGGTTGCTGTGGTTGCTGCGGTTGTTGTGGTTGCTGAGGCTGTTGTGGTTGCTGCGGTTGCTGCGGCTGCTGTGGCTGCTGCGGTTGCTGCGGCTGCTGTGGCTGCTGAGGCTGTTGTGGAATCTGTGGTTGTTGTGGTTGCTGCGGCTGTTGTGGTTGCTGCGGCTGTTGTGGTTGCTGCGGCTGCTGTGGTTGCTGCGGTTGTTGTGGTTGCTGCGGCTGTTGTGGTTGCTGCGGTTGTTGTGGCTGCTGCGGCTGTTGTGGAGTCTGTGGTTGCTGTGGTTGCTGAGGCTGTTGTGGTTGCTGCGGCTGTTGTGGTTGCTGCGGCTGTTGTGGTTGCTGCGGTTGTTGTGGCTGTTGTGGAATCTGTGGTTGCTGCGGCTGTTGTGGAGTCTGTGGTTGCTGCGGCTGTTGTGGTTGCTGCGGTTGTTGTGGAGACTGTGGTTGCTGTGGCTGTTGTGGCTGCTGAGGCTGTTGTGGAATCTGTGGTTGCTGCGGCTGTTGCGGAATCTGTGGTTGCTGCGGCTGTTGTGGAGTCTGTGGTTGCTGTGGCTGTTGCGGTTGTTGTGGTTGCTGCGGTTGTTGTGGAGTCTGTGGTTGCTGTGGCTGTTGTGGAATCTGTGGTTGTTGTGGTTGCTGAGGCTGTTGTGGTTGCTGCGGTTGTTGTGGTTGCTGAGGCTGTTGTGGTTGCTGTGGCTGTTGTGGCTGCTGAGGCTGTTGTGGAATCTGTGGTTGCTGCGGCTGTTGTGGAATCTGTGGTTGCTGCGGCTGTTGTGGTTGCTGCGGCTGTTGTGGTTGCTGAGGCTGTTGCGGTTGCTGCGGCTGTTGTGGAGTCTGTGGTTGCTGTGGCTGTTGTGGCTGCTGAGGCTGTTGTGGAATCTGTGGTTGCTGCGGCTGTTGTGGAATCTGTGGTTGCTGCGGCTGTTGTGGTTGCTGCGGTTGTTGTGGAGTCTGTGGTTGCTGTGGCTGTTGTGGCTGTTGTGGCTGCTGAGGCTGTTGTGGAATCTGTGGTTGCTGCGGCTGTTGTGGTTGCTGCGGCTGTTGTGGTTGCTGCGGCTGTTGTGGTTGCTGAGGCTGTTGTGGTTGCTGCGGCTGTTGTGGAATCTGTGGTTGCTGCGGCTGTTGTGGAATCTGTGGTTGCTGCGGCTGTTGTGGAATCTGTGGTTGCTGCGGCTGTTGTGGAATCTGCGGTTGCTGCGGCTGTTGTGGTTGCTGCGGCTGTTGTGGTTGCTGCGGTTGCTGCGGTTGCTGCGGTTGCTGCGGTTGCTGCGGTTGTTGTGGAGTCTGTGGTTGCTGCGGCTGTTGTGGTTGCTGCGGTTGTTGTGGTTGTTGAGGCTGTTGCGGTTGCTGCGGTTGTTGTGGTTGCTGAGGCTGTTGTGGTTGCTGTGGCTGTTGTGGTTGCTGTGGTTGCTGAGGCTGTTGTGGTTGTTGAGGCTGTTGCGGTTGCTGCGGCTGTTGTGGTTGCTGTGGCTGTTGTGGCTGCTGAGGCTGTTGTGGTTGCTGCGGCTGTTGCGGTTGCTGCGGCTGTTGTGGTTGCTGTGGCTGTTGTGGTTGCTGCGGCTGTTGTGGCTGCTGAGGCTGTTGCGGTTGCTGCGGCTGTTGCGGTTGCTGCGGCTGTTGTGGTTGCTGTGGCTGTTGTGGCTGCTGAGACTGTTGTGGTTGCTGCGGCTGTTGTGGTTGCTGCGGCTGTTGTGGAGTCTGTGGTTGCTGTGGCTGTTGTGGTTGCTGAGACTGTTGTGGTTGCTGCGGCTGTTGTGGAGTCTGTGGTTGCTGTGGCTGTTGTGGCTGCTGAGACTGTTGTGGTTGCTGCGGCTGTTGTGGTTGCTGAGGCTGTTGTGGTTGCTGCGGCTGTTGTGGTTGTTGAGGCTGTTGCGGTTGCCGCGGTTGCTGCGGCTGTTGTGGTTGCTGCGGTTGTTGTGGTTGCTGAGGCTGTTGTGGTTGCTGCGGTTGCTGCGGTTGCTGAGGCTGTTGTGGCTGCTGAGGCTGCTGTGGTTGCTGTGGTTGCTGAGGCTGTTGTGGTTGTTGTGGTTGTTGTGGTTGCTGAGGCTGTTGTGGTTGCTGTGGCTGTTGTGGTTGCTGTGGTTGCTGTGGTTGTTGAGGCTGTTGTGGTTGCTGCGGCTGTTGTGGTTGTTGAGGCTGTTGCGGTTGCTGCGGCTGTTGTGGTTGCTGTGGCTGTTGTGGCTGCTGAGGCTGTTGTGGTTGCTGCGGCTGTTGTGGTTGCTGTGGCTGTTGTGGCTGCTGAGACTGTTGTGGTTGCTGTGGCTGTTGTGGTTGCTGCGGCTGTTGTGGAGTCTGTGGTTGCTGTGGCTGTTGTGGCTGCTGAGACTGTTGTGGTTGCTGCGGCTGTTGTGGAGTCTGTGGTTGCTGTGGCTGTTGTGGCTGCTGAGACTGTTGTGGTTGCTGCGGCTGTTGTGGTTGCTGCGGCTGTTGTGGAGTCTGTGGTTGCTGTGGCTGTTGTGGCTGCTGAGACTGTTGTGGTTGCTGCGGCTGTTGTGGCTGCTGAGGCTGTTGTGGTTGCTGCGGCTGTTGTGGATGTTTTGGATGTTTCGGATGTCTTGGACATTTCGGATGCTTGGGATGCTTTGGATGACGATGATGATGATGTGGTCTGTGTGGCTTATGTGGCTTGTGTGGACCACATCCTGGTTTACCTGCAAATGGGAATTTCTCGTTACCTTGAAAGTATATTTCCTATCAGTAAATTTGGTGCTTGGTAAAACTGTTGATGAATGCACACATTTATTTTAATATTGCACTTTTTCATTCAATCGTTTTTGATTATTGTTTTTACGGTTGAATACACATACCTACTGGATCTCACCATTCATCTATGTTTGCTATTTAAGGATGGGTATTCCAGTGAAACAAACTTACTCATAGTAATATTGTATCATTAGTTTCTGTTTACAGTAATAATTTATAAAGTTACTCATGCTCAGTTGAGTCTGTGAGTGGTCTGTGGAAAGGTGGAAAGATAGTTATTTTTCCACCTTTCCACAGACCACTCACAGACTCGAGACTATTAAATTTAATTTTTTAAGTATTATATTGTTGTAAGGCAAAGGAAAAAATACTCAGCCATTTATTTATTTTTTCTGTTTTATTTACATTGTTTCTTTGTTTGTGTTTTTTTTTTAATCATGATTGTGTCGTTATTATTTACGTCAATCTTAGGCCCTGCCAGAAGATCAGCGCCGCAGCGGCCTTGGTGTCGTTGTGGCATTGTGCTGAGGCAGGGACCTAGTTGACCTTATAGGGTCAATATTTTTTTTTCTTTCTTTATTTCTTTCTATAAGTTAAGACTACCCTATTTTTAAGTATATAGATAGGTATGAAATTCAGCACAGATTATGTTGCTGTATAGACCTAAGTGGATAAGACAAAACATGTTACGTTTCTGTATTAGATTTAAACATCTTGCCTAACGCGATATCACTGACTATATCTTCATTATAAAGGATAATGGTTCGAGTTTAAAAAAATCTAGTTAACTTTCCTAAGACTGAAATGTCTAGCAGTATAAAGCTTAAAATAAAAAAAAATATTAATGAAAAAAGACGTTTCAAATTTGTCTAGATGGTGGAACTCCGTCTCCAGCAGACTGCAATTTTTTATGAGATGTAGAGCACTGTAATGAAATTGTAAATAATTTGCTAAAAAACTGGAATTTATTCTATCCCCCTTTTTAACAAGACATATTATATGATTATATAATTACTGATTGGCAAATGGCCAGTTTCTTTGGCGGCGTTGTACACTTTTTTTTTGTAATGGGTAAAAAATGTTGAACTCTCGTCAGGACACGTGCCCTGATCGAAAATTCGTAAGACGAAAACTTCTTTAGCGGCGTTGTACACTTTCTTTGTAATGGGTAAAAAATGAAAAACTCGCGTCAGGACACGTGACCGGATCGAAAATTCGTAAGACGGATGGAAAGTAGACAGCCGGCGCGGCGTAGGAGAGGAAGTATCCCCCTCTCTTTCTACGGCGCGGCGAAAATGTATGCCTGCGCCTGCTGTTTCGTTTAGGCGGCGCAGGGCGCTTGCGCGAATGTTCGTGTGTGTTTATGTTACAGCGTGCCACGCGCATGCATAGATGCAATGGTTCGACTTGGAAGTATTTTTCTGGATTTGGCCTTGAACTGACCAGCATCAAGGACCCGTCTGGATCGAATAGACTCTGAATTCGGATTCAGTGACCCGAAAAACATATGTATACATCACCAAAACCATTACTGAATCCACGTTCAACGGAAACATTATACAGCCGTACATTTTCGACTTTGACATGTTGTAGCTCCTCATCTTTAAACTTTTGGCCATTGAGCCCATGGGGTCTTTTATTCTACGTGTTATGAGCTACGAAACGATTCACTAGTCACTTCGTCAGAACAACGAGCTCTGAATAAGTCCATCTCCAAGCTGATAAGGCATGACCTCCGACGCTCCAATACACTCTTGATACAGAGAGCAATTGAGGAGAACCGGGGGTCTAAAGTCTTCGTACAACAGCTTGGAAGGAGCCACCTGACGAAGTTGACCATAACAAGTGGAGAAGTCGTCACGTCGAAACCAGAGATTCTTCCGGAAGTTTATACCTACTATACACGTCGCACTCGCCCCACCCTACGTCGGATGAGAGAGATTTAAGAGCCACATTAACCCGCCATGTGACGAAAGATCTCCCCGACACCTAGAGGAGATTGAGGCGGCTCTTGGGCAACTTAAAAATGGAAAAGCCCCGGGGGAGGACGGAGCCACAACCGAGCTTCTGAAAGCTCCCGGCAAGCTGGTGCTGAAGGAGCTCCGGCGTTTAAATCTGTTCTCTTCTCCGGGAGAAATCCAAGGGCGTGGCACCGGAGCTTGGTCGTATTGTTCTTCAAGAAAGGCGACAAGACCTTACTGAAGAACTATCGACCAATTTCACTCCTGAGCCATGTCTATAAATTGTTTTCAATAGTCATCTCGAATCGCCTTGCACGAAGACTTGTCAAAGCTCAACCTGCGGAGCAGGCTGGGTTCCGACGGGGTTATGGCACCATAAACCACATTCACACAGTGAGACAGGTTATACAGAAGACCAAAGAGCAGAACTAGCCTCTGTGCATGGCGTTTGTGGACTATGAGAAAGTTTTTGACTCCGTCGAGACCTGGTCTGTTCTTGAGGCCTTGCAGAGGTGCCAAGTTCATTGCCGATATATCGAGGTGCTGTGATATCTGTATGACGCCGCTAATATGTCCGTCGTACTCCAGAATGGTCAGACCGAGCCTGTGCTGCTGCGCCGTGGTATGAGACAAGGGGATGTAATATCCCCTAAACTCTTCTCCGCAGCGCTGCAGGACATGTTCGGAACGCTCAACTGAAAAAGGCGTGGAATAAATATTAATGGCGAATGCATCTCACACCATTGATTCGGGGACCTCCCTGGCTGAAACCCTGCAAGATCTACAGGAGATGGTGAGCAGCCTGGCTGAATCTTCCAAACGCGTCGGTCTCCGGATGAACTTGGATAAAACCAAGGTCATGTTCAACGAGCTCGTTCATCCGGGACTGGTTGCTGATAATGGAGTGCCTCTCGAGGTTGTTCAGGAATATGTCTATCTAGGACAAACGCTCCGATTAGGCAGAAACAACTTCGATAGAGAAGCCAATAGAAGAATTCAGTTGGATTGGGCAGCATTTCGTAAGCTTCGTCAAGTCTTCTCGTCACCCATCCCTCAATGTCTCAAGTCAAAAGTCTTCGACCAGTGCGTCCTCCCAGTTATGACATACGGCGCCGAGATGTGGACACACACGGCTGGACGAGTCCACCAGTTTAAAGTCGCTCAGAGAGCTATGGAAAGGGCTATGCAGAACTGATGGCCGTTGGAGCCGGAAAGTTCTTGAGTGGAGACCACGACTCGGTAAACGTAGTGTAGGACGCCCTGAGACAAGATGGGATGATGATATTCGTAGGCTGGCTGGAGTGGGCTGTATGAGAGTAGCACAAAATCGGGAGCAGTGGCATGCATTAGGGGAGACCTATGTCACGAATATGGGTTGATGATGAAGATGATGAGCAATGCGTCTTCCAAAGTTACAGAAAAATTGGCCGAGAGCCAGCTTCCATAAGCATTCTGCGGGGTCATTTGGAAAATTATTAACAGCTTTGGGAAGATACTTGAATGTTTTGAGACTATTATTCTTAAAACACTATAATTTGATCCGGTTACCCTGACCGCCGATTCTGTAAAAGAATTTCATAAAAATACAGCCAAAAATTGTACCCCTTTGATAGTGGCACTGTTATTAACAAATTGAGTCAGATTTAACTTTGAAGTATTGGCACCACAACTATAAAAAGACCTTTGATATCTTAAACTAACAATGACTAATATGTCACTCGAACACTAAACTGTGTTATTCCAAAAATCATAACTGAAATGCGCCCAAGTATTTGAGAATTGAATGTCAAACTTGTTGGTAATTATTTAGCCATATTCTCCACCGGTGAGTGCAGTAAGTTATGTTTATCATCAAGAAGTTGTTTAAATAAAAGGAGTTTCTAACCTGGCTGTTGCGGTTGCTGCGGTTGCTGCGGCTGCTGCGGCTGCTGCGGCTGTTGTGGTTGCTGTGGCTCTTCAGGTTCTTGTGGTTGCTGAGGCTGTTGAGGCTGCTGAGGCTGTTGTGGTTGTTGTGGTTGCTGCGGCTGCTGTGGTTGCTGAGGCTGTTGTGGTTGCTGTGGTTGTTGTGGTTGCTGCGGCTGTTGTGGTTGCTGCGGCTGTTGTGGCTGCTGTGGTTGTTGTGGTTGCTGAGGCTGCTGAGGCTGTTGTGGTTGTTGTGGTTGCTGCGGCTGCTGTGGTTGCTGAGGCTGTTGTGGTTGCTGTGGTTGTTGTGGTTGCTGCGGCTGTTGTGGTTGCTGCGGCTGTTGTGGCTGCTGTGGTTGTTGTGGTTGCTGAGGCTGTTGTGGTTGCTGTGGTTGTTGTGGTTGCTGCGGCTGCTGTGGTTGCTGAGGCTGTTGTGGTTGCTGTGGTTGTTGTGGTTGCTGCGGCTGTTGTGGTTGCTGCGGTTGTTGCGGTTGCTGAGGATGTTGTGGCTGCTGAGGCTGTTGTGGTTGCTGCGGCTGCTGTGGTTGCTGAGGCTGTTGTGGTTGCTGTGGTTGCTGAGGCTGCTGTGGTTGTTGTGGTTGCTGGGGCTGTTGTGGCTGCTGTGGTTGTTGTGGTTGCTGCGGCTGTTGTGGTTGCTGCGGTTGTTGCGGTTGCTGAGGATGTTGTGGCTGCTGAGGCTGTTGTGGTTGCTGCGGCTGCTGTGGTTGCTGAGGCTGCTGTGGTTGTTGTGGTTGCTGGGGCTGTTGTGGCTGCTGTGGTTGTTGTGGTTGCTGCGGCTGTTGTGGTTGCTGCGGTTGTTGCGGTTGCTGAGGATGTTGTGGCTGCTGAGGCTGTTGTGGTTGCTGCGGCTGCTGTGGTTGCTGAGGCTGCTGTGGTTGTTGTGGTTGCTGGGGCTGTTGTGGCTGCTGTGGTTGTTGTGGTTGCTGCGGCTGCTGTGGTTGCTGAGGCTGTTGTGGTTGCTGTGGTTGTTGTGGTTGCTGCGGCTGTTGTGGTTGCTGCGGTTGTTGCGGTTGCTGAGGATGTTGTGGCTGCTGAGGCTGTTGTGGTTGCTGCGGCTGCTGTGGTTGCTGAGGTTGCTGTGGTTGTTGTGGTTGCTGGGGCTGTTGTGGCTGCTGTGGTTGTTGTGGTTGCTGCGGCTGCTGTGGTTGCTGTGGTTGCTGGGGCTGTTGTGGCTGCTGTGGTTGTTGTGGTTGCTGAGGCTGTTGTGGTTGCTGTGGTTGTTGTGGTTGCTGCGGCTGTTGTGGTTGCTGCGGTTGTTGCGGTTGCTGAGGATGTTGTGGCTGCTGAGGCTGTTGTGGTTGCTGCGGCTGCTGTGGTTGCTGAGGCTGCTGTGGTTGTTGTGGTTGCTGGGGCTGTTGTGGCTGCTGTGGTTGCTGAGGCTGCTGTGGTTGCTGTGGTTGCTGAAGCTGTTGTGGTTGCTGCGGCTGCTGTAGTTGCTGTGGTTGCTGAGGCTGTTGTGGTTGCTGCGGCTGCTGTGGTTGCTGAGGCTGTTGTGGTTGCTGTGGTTGCTGAGGCTGCTGTGGTTGTTGTGGTTGCTGGGGCTGTTGTGGTTGCTGCGGCTGTTGTGGTTGCTGCGGTTGTTGCGGTTGCTGCGGCTGCTGTGGTTGATGAGGCTGTTGTGGTTGCTGTGGTTGTTGTGGTTGCTGGGGCTGTTGTGGTTGCTGTGGTTGCTGAGGATGTTGTGGCTGCTGAGGCTGTTGTGGTTGCTGCGGCTGCTGTGGTTGCTGAGGCTGTTGTGGTTGCTGTGGTTGCTGAGGCTGCTGTGGTTGTTGTGGTTGCTGGGGCTGTTGTGGCTGCTGTGGTTGTTGTGGTTGCTGCGGCTGTTGTGGTTGCTGCGGTTGTTGCGGTTGCTGAGGATGTTGTGGCTGCTGAGGCTGTTGTGGTTGCTGCGGCTGCTGTGGTTGCTGAGGCTGCTGTGGTTGTTGTGGTTGCTGGGGCTGTTGTGGCTGCTGTGGTTGTTGTGGTTGCTGCGGCTGTTGTGGTTGCTGCGGTTGTTGCGGTTGCTGAGGATGTTGTGGCTGCTGAGGCTGTTGTGGTTGCTGCGGTTGTTGCGGTTGCTGCGGCTGCTGTGGTTGATGAGGCTGTTGTGGTTGCTGTGGTTGTTGTGGTTGCTGGGGCTGTTGTGGCTGCTGTGGTTGTTGTGGTTGCTGCGGCTGTTGTGGTTGCTGCGGTTGTTGCGGTTGCTGAGGATGTTGTGGCTGCTGAGGCTGTTGTGGTTGCTGCGGCTGCTGTGGTTGCTGTGGTTGCTGAGGCTGCTGTGGTTGTTGTGGTTGCTGCGGCTGTTGTGGTTGCTGCGGTTGTTGCGATTGCTGAGGATGTTGTGGCTGCTGAGGCTGTTGTGGTTGCTGCGGCTGCTGTGGTTGCTGTGGTTGCTGAGGCTGTTGTGGTTGCTGCGGCTGCTGTGGTTGCTGAGGCTGTTGTGGTTGCTGTGGTTGCTGAGGCTGCTGTGGTTGTTGTGGTTGCTGGGGCTGTTGTGGCTGCTGTGGTTGTTGTGGTTGCTGCGGCTGTTGTGGTTGCTGTGGTTGCTGCGGCTGTTGTGGTTGCTGCGGCTGCTGTGGTTGCTGAGGCTGTTGTGGTTGCTGTGGTTGTTGTGGTTGCTGCGGCTGTTGTGGTTGCTGCGGTTGTTGCGGTTGCTGAGGATGTTGTGGTTGCTGTGGTTGTTGTGGTTGCTGCGGTTGTTGTGGTTGCTGCGGCTGTTGTGGTTGCTGTGGTTGTTGTGGTTGCTGCGGCTGTTGTGGTTGCTGCGGTTGTTGCGGTTGCTGAGGCTGTTGTGGTTGCTGTGGTTGTTGTGGTTGCTGCGGTTGTTGTGGTTGCTGCGGCTGTTGTGGTTGCTGAGGCTGTTGTGGATGTTTTGGATGTCTCGGATGTCTTACACGTTTCGGATGCTTGGGATGCTTTGGATGACTATGGTGATGATGTGGTCTGTGTGGCTTATGTGGCTTGTGTGAACCACATCCTGGTTTACCTGCAAAAGGGGATTTCACGTTACTTTGAAAGTATATTTTTTCTATCAGTAGAGACTACCCTTTTTTATACTATGTGGATAGGTTTTGAGTTTGAAATCAGCACATTGTTATGTAGATAACATTGTTTAATAATAATATATTGTATAAAATATAAAATATTGTATAAAATCGATACAACTTTAAGATCCTTTTTGTGTACATGTATGAGACAGTGGACCACAGTCCTTCGTCAGCCAGACTGTGGAGATAACCCCTTGGATCCGTCGGATGGTATAAGGATAGATGCATCTTTCAGGGTGACAGTCTGTGCCCATTGTGATTTTACTTAGCCCTAAATCCTCTTAGCACTTTGCTGAGGGAAACAGGGCTGGGCTGCCGTCTCCGGAGAGGTGGGGAGATCATTTCTCACTTGCTTTACATGGATGACCTAAAATTATTTGCACAAAAACAACCACACTTGATAAAACTACTAAAAATTACAGAAGTTTTCAGTAGTTCTATCGGGATGGAGTTTGGTGTCGATAAGTGCGTGGTCATGCATGTACAGCGAGAGAAAATGGTGGCACTTTTGATTTTGGACCAAAATGGATGATGTCCTTTGGAAAATTATTAACAGCTTCGGGAAAACAGTTGAATGTATTGAACCTATTATTTTTTTAAAAAAGTGTAACTTGATTCAGTTACCCTGACCACCGATTTTGTAAAAGAATTTCAAAACAATACAGCAAAAAATTGTACCCCTTTGATAGTAGCACTATTATTAACAAATTTAATCTGATTAAACTCTGAAGTGTTTGCACCTCAACTTTAAAAAGACATTTGCTACCTTAAACTTTAACAATGACTATTAAGGCACTTGAACACTAAACTATGTTATTATAAAATTTCTAAATGAAGGTGCTCAAGAACTGAATGTAAAAATCGTAGGTAATTATTTAGCGACATTTTCCACTGGTGAGTGGAGAATGTACTATAAGTTATGTTGTCATCGAAACGTAGTGTTAATAACGATGAGTTTCTAACCTGTCTGTTGTGGTTGCTGAGGCTGTTGTGGTTGCTGCGGCTGTTGTGGTTGCTGTGGTTGCTGCGGTTGCTGCGGCTGCTGTGGTTGCTGTGGTTGCTGCGGTTGCTGCGGCTGCTGTGGTTGCTGTGGTTGCTGAGGCTGTTGTGGTTGCTGCGGTTGCTGTGGTTGCTGAGGCTGTTGTGGTTGCTGCGGCTGCTGTGGTTGCTGTGGTTGCTGAGGCTGTTGTGGTTGCTGCGGTTGCTGTGGTTGCTGAGGCTGTTGTGGTTGCTGCGGCTGCTGTGGTTGCTGAGGCTGTTGTGGTTGCTGCGGCTGCTGTGGTTGCTGTGGTTGCTGAGGCTGTTGTGGTTGCTGCGGTTGCTGTGGTTGCTGAGGCTGTTGTGGTTGCTGCGGCTGCTGTGGTTGCTGTGGTTGCTGAGGCTGTTGTGGTTGCTGCGGCTGCTGTGGTTGCTGAGGCTGTTGTGGTTGCTGTGGTTGCTGAGGCTGCTGTGGTTGTTGTGGTTGCTGGGGCTGTTGTGGCTGCTGTGGTTGTTGTGGTTGCTGCGGCTGTTGTGGTTGCTGCGGCTGCTGCGGTTGTTGTGGTTGCTGAGGATGTTGTGGTTGCTGCGGCTGTTGTGGTTGCTGCGGCTGCTGAGGCTGTTGTGGTTGCTGCGGCTGTTGTGGTTGCTGCGGCTGCTGTGGTTGTTGTGGTTGCTGCGGCTGCTGTGGTTGCTGAGGCTGTTGTGGTTGCTGCGGCTGTTGTGGTTGCTGCGGCTGCTGTGGTTGTTGTGGTTGCTGGGGCTGTTGTGGCTGCTGTGGTTGTTGTGGTTGCTGCGGCTGTTGTGGTTGCTGCGGCTGCTGTGGTTGTTGTGGTTGCTGCGGCTGTTGTGGTTGCTGCGGCTGCTGCGGTTGTTGTGGTTGCTGCGGCTGTTGTGGTTGCTGCGGCTGTTGTGGTTGCTGAGGCTGCTGTGGTTGCTGCGGCTGCTGCGGTTGTTGTGGTTGCTGCGGCTGTTGTGGTTGCTGAGGCTGCTGTGGTTGCTGCGGCTGCTGCGGTTGTTGTGGTTGCTGCGGCTGTTGTGGTTGCTGCGGCTGCTGTGGTTGCTGCGACTGTCGTGGTTGTTTTGGATGTTTCGGATGACTTGGACGTTTCGGATGCTTGGGATGCTTTGGATGACGATGGTGATGATGTGGTCTGTGTGGCTTATGTGGCTTGTGTGGACCACATCCTGGTTTACCTACAAATGGGAATTTCTCGTTACTTTGAAAGTTTATTTTCTATCAGTAGAGAATAATACCCTTTTTTATACTATGTGGATAGGTACTGAGTATAAAATTCAGCACAAGTGATGTTGCTGTACAGATCTAAGTGGATAAGACAAAACATGTGACGATTCTGTATTAGCGATTTAAACAACTTGCCTAACGCGATATCACTGACTATCGCTTCAGTATAAAAGTTAATGTTTCGAGTTAAAATAAAATCTCGTTAAATTTCCAAAGACTGAAATGCCTAGCAGTATAATGCTTAAAATAAAGATATTATTAATGAAAGAAGACGTTTCAAATTTGGGTGGCGAGTGGAAGTCCGTCTCCGGCAGACTCCAAATTTTTATGAGATCTAGTGCAGTTAATTGTAAATCGTTTACCGAAAAACTAGAATTTATTTTATCTTTTTTTTTTAACAATAATTAATTATAAGATAAAATAACTAATGATTGACAAATGGCAATTTTATTTTTCTATTTTTTGCCATATTTATGCTATTTAGTAGTGATAATGTTTCATTACATTATAAGGTATTTTGTGGGTATTGTATTTCAAGAAGAATCAATCATAAATATTTATTATTATAAGTTATCACGTTCATCACGATTACACGAAAATCATGCATGACTTTCATAAGCCACGTTTCATACATTTATAGTCCAAAGTCAAAAGCGCCAGCAAAAAAATGGTGCTGTGTTCTGATAGAACACGTCGACTTTAGCATTTGTTTATATGACACCAAAGCTAAAGCACCACTATTAGAGGTGCTGTAAGCTTTGGTGCCATATTTCGAAGTGATGATATACTGTCACATTTCTTTAACATGTCACATTTCCTTCATTCAATACCTATTTAACTGACATTTCATGTATTTTTCAATCAAATCAATTCACTAAAGACACTATTATTATTCTTAAAACACTGGAACTTGATTCAGTTACCCTAACCACCGAATTAGTAAATAATTTCAAAAAAATACAGCAAAAAATTGTACCCCTTTGATAGCAGCACTATTATTAACAAATTTTGTCTGATTAAACTCTGAAGTGTTTGCACCTAAACTATAAAAAGACATTTGCTACCTTAAACTTTAACAATGACTAATAAGGCACTTGAACACTAAACTATGTTATTATCAATTTCTAAATGAAAGTACCCCCGGTGCTCAAGAATTGAATGTAAAACTCGTTGGTAATTATTTAGCCACATTCTCCACCGGTGAGTGGAGGATGTACTATAAGTTATGTTGTCATCGAAACGTAGTGTTAATAACGAGGAGTTTCTAACCTGTCTGTTGTGGTTCCTGAGGCTGTTGTGGCTGTTGTGGTTGCTGTGGCTCTTGTGGTTGTTGTGGTTGCTGAGGCTGCTGTGGCTCTTGTGGCTGTTGTGGTTGCTGTGGCTCTTGTGGTTGCTGTGGTTCTTGTGGCTCTTGTGGTTGCTGTGGCTCTTGTGGTTGCTGTGGTTCTTGTGGCTCTTGTGGTTGCTGTGGCTCTTGTGGTTGCTGTGGTTCTTGTGGCTCTTGTGGTTGCTGTGGCTCTTGTGGTTGCTGTGGTTCTTGTGGCTCTTGTGGTTGCTGTGGCTCTTGTGGTTGTTGTGGCTGCTGTGGTTGTTGTGGTTGCTGAGGCTGTTGTGGTTGTTGTGGTTGCTGCGGCTGCTGTGGCTGCTGCGGCTGTTGGGGTTGCTGTGGCTCTTGTGGCTGTTGTGGTTGCTGCGGCTGTTGCACTTGCTGTCGCTGAGGCAGTTGAGGCAACTGCGGTAGCTGTGGTAGTTGCGGTAATTGTCCTGAAATTAAATATTATCACATTATGTATTTTCAATCCTTTTAGCAAACAATCCCATCCCTCTATCTGTCTTATTTTCAGGCGCCGTGTCCTGGGCGGTAGGCAAAGAACAACAAAAAAAGGATTATATTATTATGGTGTTCAATTGTGCTGTTCAGCAATTTTGTTGTTGTGTACACATTTAAGGATTATTCTAGATTATACTTCAATAATTATAATTTTCGAAGTATCGACGGCGTTCTTTCGGGGGCACCAACAATGCCCCTTAAATTAATATAAGAATTATCAGAGCACCACAAAGCACGGAAAATATATGTCCATTATATCTTGTTAATATATCTGACGGAGTAAATAGAATTTCATTTCACTAAATTCGTCATCATCCCCATTAAGTACAGCATTAATGAATTTGAAAATATAATAGTAATAAATGAATTGTGATATTACTTTCTACTGAACGTATGTTCTACGTCTACGGTATATCTACTAAAATAAAGACCCAATTTCACCAAACTAGGGAAATCTTTGATTAGCTGATTGTTCTTTAAAACTAACAATGCCCTTAAATTAATTTACGTCCCATTATGAAAATATACGTTCAATAACTAATTACTAAATCAACTATCCAGCGAACGATTTGAAAGTCATTCACTCATATTAAAATACTACAAGAAATATGAAATTATTTGTTTGGCTGGCATAATTATGATAACATGTCCTAATTTCAATATATTGTATCGACGTTCATTTTGACGTACTTTGACATTTATGAATCGTCTAATGTGCAGTACTGAAAAAACGTACAGTCCTTTAAAAGATCCTCTGGCCAGAATCTGCAATTCCTACGATGGATGTGTTTGACGTTTCGCAAAAAACTTTAAAACAACATTATTTGTTTCAATTATCATTAATTCTGCATTAGTATTATTATTATTTTTGTATAAATTTAACATTACATTATAAACATTATTAATTATGTTGCTGCTGTTATGGTGGGAATATTCCATTCCTACTATAACAGCATTAAGCTGAGGCAGGGTCCTGATTGGCCTTTTCTCTCTCCATATTGTTACTCACTGTTGTTATTATATTTTTGTTGCTATGTTTATTGATTTTATTTTACATACTTGTGTAAATAAAAGCTTTTTCTTTCTTTCTTTCTTTCTTTCTTTCTTTCTTTCTTTCTAATTAATAAATAAACATTGAATATTTATTGCACTACAATTGATTATTAATTATTATTCTTATTACATTGAAGTTTACACAAGTGAAAGTTGTGTGCGCTTGTAAAAGCTTACATATATGTCTTAGAATAAGTGTTATTTTATTTTTTAATGTTTTTAAATGTTTATCTGTAGGTGTACCTATTAAATAAATAAAAGAACTTCATAAGCTGCTGAATACCAATGTTTGGTGAAATTAGGTTTAGTACTTTTAATTTTAACTGGGTTCACAATGAATGTTATCCTGATTATGCTTCTCTTATACAAATAAATAAATATTTACAACACTCACACCAATTAGCCTAGCCCCAAAGTAAGCACTATAAGGCTTGTGTTATGGGATACTAGGGTAACGGATAGAATACACATACTTTACATATATAAGTATATTTATATAGAAATACACATTTATACATCCATGACTGAAGTACAAATGCTCGTCTCCCACGACAACGGCTAACTAGAGCCGAGGTCCGAGTCTCAGAGACGCCCTCTAGTTGAGCCGACCCCCTCAGGTTCGAGTGGTCTGGAGGCTCCAGACGGAGAGGAGACTTTCCCCGTGGGGAGACGCCATCCGCCTGGAATACCTCTAGAGGCACTCGCCAATTCTCGGCTTGAGGTCCCCTTAGGATCTCGCCGTCCCAAAACCCGGTGACGCTGTAAAGGTCATCTGCGACCAACAGCATACACACTCAAAAAAAAAATGCTCGTGTTCATCACACAAATATCTGCCGCCACCGGGATTCGAACCCGGGACCTCTCGAGTCGGCGACGCCATGAAACCCGGCGTACAAACCACTCGGCCACGGAGGTCGTCAAATATATATACAGTGGCGGCGCTAGACCATATGTGGACGTCGGCGACATCAAGTTCGCGAGGCCTATTTAAATTCGCAGTAAAAAACCGCTAAATTAAGTGAGCCAAATTATAAAATAACGTATGACTAAACGAATTTTATTGTTGATAATCAAATGATGACAGAAAATAATTACAAACATAGAAATTTAATTACAAAAATAGTGTTGCCAGACAGACAATTCTGAATACCCGTAAAGTAGTACTCGCTTCCATCACGCACGTGTTCGAAAATAATAAAAGTCATTATCATCTGCTTAGCTTTTTCCCCGAATTGTTCGGGGTCGGCTACCTAAGCCAGGCCAGAGAAACGAAAATAAATAGGTAACTTGTAAACATTTTTTGCGAGGCCGGCGCGAGGCCGTCGGCGGTGGCCGACTTCGCCGACGCCTAGCGCCGCCACTGTATATATATATTATATGCATTGTTTTTATTCCATTTACGGTGGCTGACCTGGGTATTCCGGGAACGATGGGTAGACTGGCCTTTGTGGATACAGAGGCCTCTGCTTGTGGTGGTGTTTGCCTGTGGAGAATAAAATTTCCGTCATCATCATCGTTTTTGAAATGAAATGAAAAGTCATTTCTTCAGTCTAGGCTGTTACAAGTACTTGTGAAGGTCAAGAAGCTACGCCATCGGTTCGCAAAATTACGGCGGGAGACCTTGTACTGAGAAGAACCGGCAAGAAACTCAGCAAGGGCTGCTTTTTTCTCCCTGTATTGATATATACAGAGTCGTCAAGTTGAAAAATGACTTCAGAGATACTTCTGAAGTCACCTTCCATTACATTATTTAGGATATAGATATATAGTTACAATAAATTTTATATTTAGTATATAGGAAGCGGCATTCGATAGGTACCATATTACTGTTACAAAAACTGACTCATACCCATCAAATAACAAATTACAAGAAACACTATGTCCATATTTTATTTCTCGATATCATCATGGAGTTCTATGTCTCCATTGCTGCGGCACAAACATTCCTTATAGTGAACGGAGATTTCAGGATTTACTTGAGCGCTGCAGGATAACACGAGGGGAGCAACCTTGCACCTTGTGTAACACTGCCACCATACCTGAGCCTTTAGGGAAGCAAAGCAAAATTTCAATGATCGACCATGTATTTTGGTCGCTCCCAAACATCAGTCTTATGAATACTACTACTGGAGGGTTACCGTATCGTTTCTGATGACGGAAAAATATTGATCTGCCGGTTTGCATGGTATCAGGGTTAACGTACAAAGGAGTAGAAAAAAGGGAAAAGGGCACCCCGCTAAAAGTGGGCTGACCTCACAGAACATAGAAAAACTTTAAAAGGGTGATCAGTCATAGACCGTCAGTACGGGAAGCGATATCGCCAGCTCTCCCCCACTACACTTCCACCTAATAGATAATAGCCAATCAAACGACGCGACATCAAACAATTGAACCAATCAGTGCTCACGCCCGAAAGCAACGAGGCAAACAGTTCCAAGTTTTGGTCAAGTTATGAGCATTTGCTCACACATAATTGTAGCGCGCCTGCCCCGCCCACAAGGCCCTTCTAACCCTGTTCCATCCTTCCTACAATCTGGGGTCCTTAAGGAGAGGCGTAAAGAAGCATTTTTGCAGGCCGGCAAGGTGAGGATGGTTGGTGTGGCAGTTTATAACTGCTGTACCAGCTATCTTCGCGTTTGGACTTTATCACCACTTAACATCAGGCGGGGTAGAGTCGTTTGCCTACCTGGCTATAAATTAAAAAAAACCTCTTTCCGTGTTCTGTGGTTGAACTCTATGGTTAGCAGCGGGTGCCGTGTGGTTGAATGAAGATGATATGAAAGAACATGGACTTTCTTTTCCACTTACTGTGAAGGTGGTGATGTCTGGACTTGCTGCTGCTTGATTCGCTGGATTCGCTTATTTCCGTTTCGGATTCACCTTGAACAGAATGAATGGACTACATAATGAATTGTCAAGTAATGAAATTGATCACTCTTTCAGATTCTAAGCCTTAAGCGCATTCTACGCACACGTCTGTAAATAACATTCAATCGAGCGAACGAGACAGAACTGTACGCTTCAACGCAGAGAGAGCGAAACGACGAGTCTGCGTCCGAGTCCGCACGGCTGAGCTGTATTGTTGTCCTATTCTTGATAACAAAATGGCGATTACGTAAATAACATTCATGACAAACCGTGATTTTTGAAAAAAAAATGTTTTTACAGTTTAACGAATGAAAAGTGTTGCTGAGTCATTTGTTATTTCATTTTGAACTATTTGTGTTCTTTATAAAAGTATCGAAGGCATTGTTTTATCTTTATAACACTTATTGGGCTAATAACTTTATTTAGAATCGCAAAAGTCTATCGACTATGGTAGCCGCTTATCATCAGGCAAGCCATGCGCTTCTTTGTCAAACATTTAACATAAAACACTGGTTCTGCTATGTATGAAGTTAACTAAAGAATAAAGAATGGTAGATATATGACATGTTATTATATATATTATAGTCGGGATTTGGAAAATAAGGTATTTGACAAGTTTTAGAAATCGATCTCACGTTATTGACTAATGTTTATGGAGTCCGTAAAAAGTGGATATTCATCATTCTGTTGTGTATTTCAGTAAAAATAACCAAATCAAAAACTCCATTTTTTAGTTGCGCGAAAACGTTTCTCTGGACAATATGGCGTCTCACTGGTGTGTGACGTCACACGACTGTTATTTAAACGTCAAACGAAACAATGTAATGTCACTTTAACCGGAAGTTTACTTGCGTGTGACGTCATTTTAGGCTCCACCAATACCAAGCGTTTTGGATCACGTGACAATAGATAAAAAAACTATTATCTTTTTCGTGGGTTTTTAGTAAATATTTTTTCTGTAAAAATAGTGAAAATTCCTTCCAATATTCATGCTTAACACAGATGCTAACAATTGGCACTTTATTTTTTATTATATACTGTCAAATACCCTATTGCGCATTTACACAAACGTGTCATCACAGCAGCTTGAAAAAAAATCATGTGACGGGAAATCTGTATATTTTGGCTTGTTACAATTTTCTTTATTTTGAGGATAAGTCCACTATTGGTATGTTTGAGTCTAACTTAATTAACATCTTGAAAAACCGAAAGATGTTTGATCAGTTTTATTTTTACCTGGAATTATTGGTCCGCCTGGTCCGCGGGCACCCCACGGGTAGTTCCACGGTGGGTAGTAGGGCAGCCATTGCCACGGTTGCCATGGCAACGGAGCTTCCTCAGACTCGGCCGGAGGTGGCGGTGGCGGCAGCCATGGTGGGAGGACTGGCGGAAGAGGTAGGGCTGGAGCTGTGTGGAAAAATAATGATAAAATGAAATTCTGGACAACTCACAAAAAAAATTAGTATCAAACTGAAGTGATTAAACTATTGAGCGTAAATTACAATACAATGCAATACACAATGCTTTATTGAAAACACCACAACACAGAACAGAAATGAGGGAATTTACAATTGTAAAAAAAAGAGTGTTTCAATGAGTGGTTTTATCACTTAAAGCGATTTCTTCCAGACAACCTTTGGATGAAGAGGATTTAAAGAAAGCTGGAGTCGGTGGTGTCAGGAAAAGAAACAAAGAAACGAATTTATGAATTAAATATACATAGACTACAGATAAAAATGCAGCTTCATCGACAAATTGTGATTTACAACAAGATTTTTAAAGGTATAATATTATTTAACTAAATACAAAGACTCCAACCCCCATATTAATATAAGAGGAATAAGTTACGACCAGTTACGCTGTGGTTTGCTCATATCACTCAAATGCCATTTGTCATTAAATGAACAGAGATAACACATGGAGCAACTAATCCAAGCTTATTCTCCGTTTTGTTAATAAAGGGATAAGTGCGGTTGTTAGGGAGTTAGGATTAAAGTTCTTACGTGTGTCGTCGTCATCATCATCGTCATCGCCATCACTGCTGCCATCTGGTGGTAAAATAGCGCCTTCTGGTATCGTGCCTGCAAAGAGAGGAACAGCCAATTCAACAAACGCTTCTGAAGAATTTACATATGCCACCCTAATAATTAGATCATCTGGTTTCATTTTTTCATCATCAATATTGCTTCCTATGATGTAAAACGGCTATGATGGAGAAGAGTGTAGTAACCATGGCTCCACGGCTTTATAATAAATTGCCTGATAGTCTTAAGAAGTTAGACGACCTTAAATTCAAAACTGTATTGACTAAACTTTTGATTGACAAATGCTTTTATGACATTAAGGATTTTTTTACTGACAACTTGATATTTTGACATTTCAATTATGTAATTGGACTTAATTTTAATAATAATAAATAATATAAATTTTTGACTTTTTTAAAATTATTATATTGGTAGTATTTTCTTCTTTTCAACATCCTTAATTTGATACTTGTTTTTTTTTTAATGATTTATTATAACAGGAATTGTAAATAATGTAATAATATATAAATAACTTCATAAATTCATATACCACAATGGTGAAACATAGACAGGACTAATACTTTTATTGTAACATCACTATTGTACCTATGTTTATGAATAAATTAATTCTATTCTATTCTATTTCTTCTTTGTTGTTGTCAGAGTTGCCAAATTAACAGAGCTCATTTCCTTTTGCGTGTGTGTACTTTTTAAGATTTGTATTTCGTTACATGGATGCTTAAGATATTCATAATCTACACTGTCTGCCAATGTTGACTTTGTACTTTCCACTAAGCTTATAGCTGATGTCTTGTCGATTCAAAGTCAACAACGACAGAAAGGAGACTATTACTTACCACGAGGTACCAATGACATAGTGACAATCGGTTCACCATTCTCGTCAAGTCTTTCCAAAGTGAAAATATCGTAATTCTTTCCATCATCTGAAAAAACGTTCGGTGTTCAATCAATATGTTCTACAGTATCTTTTATTTCTTTATTATCTTCTGGAAATTAATTTACCTAATAATTACCTAAAAATGCCTTATATTGTTTTAAACTTTCATGGTCACTAACATTATAGCTATTAACGGGATTGTTACCATGTACCTTGTTTTTTATGAGTCTCCGATATTTCGGCACTGTTGCAAGCGCCATGATCACGGAGTAACTGAAGTAATTGCGGGTAGATGTTATTGGCAGACATATCGGTCTACCCTCTGACGTCATCTTTTACTGCGCTCGATACCCGTACCGCTGGTCACATTCTCACTATTCACTCGCACTTGTTCCCGAATACTCACAGTATCAGATCGCGGAACGACACTTTTATGGTTTTTGCGGTTTTTACACATACGAACCACTGGATTCCAAACATTTGACAATTTAAACCCATCCTCACGATTGAAATTTGAATTCGGAAACTCATAAAAAACAAGGTACATGGTAACAATCCCGTTAATAGCTATAATTTTAAATGCCTATTCAATTGTTTTTCATCTACGACGTTTTGGGAAAAATCTTGTTTAATCGTAAAGAATGATACTAAATAAAACAAATTTCAACGGTATACATGCACTGAATTTATATATTGACCTTTCGCATCCTTTTCATGATGCGTCGTCTTAATAACCGTCAATAAATAAATAAAATCAGTGCATCTATACCTACTGTTGAAATTGGTTTCATTTAATGAGTGATGTGCGTAAAACCCTAAGAAACAAATGATACTATTTAATAAATTCTTACTATGGATGGGTAAGGATAAAAAGAAAGAAAGAAAATCATTTATTGGTTACACAGCATAGGAAGGTACATTAAAAACAAAACAGAAATATAAATAAAAACCATAACCACAAATAAAAAATAAAAAAACTAAATTCAGGTGTTGCTGTGCAGAGCCAACAGGTCGCTGTCTCAGCTATGCTACTGTGGTAGTACTTCTGCAATACCACAGCAACGCTGATTTTCAGCCAGCGCCTAGTGATATCCGAAACGCTGGTCAGGTTCTTAGTTTGACGATATGTAACGATGACAATACTAATCTATTTTTGAAGTAAAAACTTCTTTAGCGGCGTTGTACACTTTTTTTTTGTATGGGTAAAAAATTTAAACTCGCGTCAAGTTAAACACGTGGGCTGATCGCATAGGACGAAACATAGTAATATTTTATTTTACCGTATTATAATAATAAGTCTATCTAGGACGTCCACGTGGCAGCTTTATTGTGAAGAAAATGCATTTTTTTCACAATAGATGTCGCTAGGTGCGCTGAAATGTGATTCATGTAAGTTGATTTTTCTGAGAGATAAACTTTTTTAATGTAATATAAATTGTCATGTTTGTGTACGCTAGCGCAATAAATAAATATTGTGTTCTACCACATATATGATAGTACTTTTATACTGATAATTAAAGCAATTCGTGCAAAAGTGCAAAATATTCCCTAAGCATTCCAAAATATCAAAAATGCACAACGTTAATATTCAGGTTTTCACTTCTGCCGGTACTCCCGGAGTGCAACCCGTCGTTTTTTTTCTATTATTTAGACCTCCCCCGCATTGGCACGTTATTGACGATCAATAATATCAGATACGTCTTTGTGATATTTGTTTTTATTACATGATTTAAGAGAAAGGTTTATAGATTCACATTGCTGCGATAATAACACCGCAATAGAAATATGACGAAATATCGTAATAATGCATTCGATATTATCGACCGATAATGACGCAACTATGGGCGAGAGGCTTTATGGTAATTAGTTAAAACACTTAGTGTTATATTGGAACCTTTAATTATAATGAAATTCAGTATATCCAGTGAAACAAGATAGGGGCAATCGTTAGTGTGAACGAAAAGAACTTGGAGAACAGTGTTGGAATAGTTGGTTATAGTAATATAAGTTATTTACGGGATTGTTACCATGTACCTTGTGTGCCGAAATATCGGAAACTCGCTAAAAACAAGGTACATGGTAACAATCCCGTAAATAACTTATATTACTATAATGTTAGTGACCATGAAATATAAAACAATATATAGTTGGTTAGTTTCAAATTGGTAATCTTTCCTTTTTCTTCTAATTGATGGTTGGTGTAGCAGTTTATAACTGCTGTACCAGCTATCTTCGCGTTTGGACTTTATCACCACTTAACATCAGGTGGGGTAGAGTCATTTGCCTACCTGGCTATAAAAAAAATTGTGACGACGTTTCTGTAATAGTTTTAGTTTAAGGGAGTATGAAGTACTTAACATGATTCAAGCAAGGAAGATATATACGAGTGCCTTTAACCGCTAGTATACATCAAGGTATAATACATGTATTAAACAAATTCCATACAATGTCTCAATTTATTGTTAAAACATGTAGTATACAATACTAGCATCAAACTAGTTGGATAAACAAAATATGTAAAGTGAATAAGTGATTTATACTTGTAAGATACTAGTTGTGTATATAAGAAAAAAGATAAGAAAAAAGTCATATACTAGTTTTAGACAAAACTTGTAGAATATTTGTTGAGGCTGTTTAAAAAAATCTTTCGTTAACACTGCGTTAACGAAAGATTTTTTTAAACAGCCTCAACAAATATTCTACAAGTTTTGTCTAAAACTAGTATATGACTTTTTTCTTGGTGGAAATGAGGGGTAATGGATTCAAGTATGAAAACTGTTCATTCTTTACATGTATATTTCTTAAAATAAAAAATAGATTCATTTGTAATTTACCTGGAAGAGGTAAGTCGGCTAAGTTGAGCTTCTTTCCTGTAAGCAAATTGGAATAGTTAATAATTATTATATCACTAATCACAATATTTACTCTCTTATCGGCATAACTTCTAAAATTGGTAGTAGGCATAATGTTGTAGAAATCAAAAATCGGGTCTTCTACATACAATTTACTTATTTTATTTATTTATTTATTTAATTCATTTATTTATTTAATTCTAGACCAAAATCCACAGCATTTTCTTAATATAATACAGGTTTTACAATATAGTTTATCTTAATTCCAATTACGGATTTTCATTTTTTAGTTATAGCATAATAGTTTAGAAAACCCTCTACCAAACAAGGGCGAGACATAGTATAAAGAGAAGTATACTATGGGCGAGATGTGTGCAGTGCAACGCGCGCGATTGTATATATGTGTGTGTGTGTGTTTGTGTGTGTAAATAAATAAATGTGTAAGTTTTTCATTTTTGTTTGTATATTACCAATCAACCAACAGACCTAAAAGTTGTTTTTTTTAAAAGATGCTTTACTTTTGCAAGCAAATATGTCAACAGCCGTGAAATTCTTATTGTATGTACTTTGTGATCGAAAAACAACTGAGTTTTGTGCATAGTTTGTGCGACATGTAGGAATTGCGAAAAAGATAGATGATGTATGTCTGGTACGGGTAGTTGGTGTGTAGAGTGTTAAAAATGAAATAGAATCTGAATCTCACCCTGATATCGATCAGCCATCGTAAAAATTTGTATGTTCCCGCTAAAAGTTATTCAAAAACCAATAAAAAAATTAAACCAACCTGTCAAAGACTTCTTCTTATGATGTCTACTGTTGGCTGCTTCCTTTTCGACCAGTTTTTCTTCGACGGTGGTGGTGACATCACCAACTTTGGTGGTGATTATCTCCTCCTCGTCGATTTCAGCTGATGCTTCCTGTTCATCGTCTTGCTCTTCTTCATATTTGACGTTGCCTTCTGGTGCTGTTAGTTCGAATAGCTAGTGTTAGGATACAGAAAAAGGTGCAAGAATCTGCTGGAACGCAACGGAGTGGCCGAATACCGGGCAAATTACCTCGGCTCACCGGGAAACCTCCAAAAGGCAATCAGCAATGTGAAGGCCTTGGGAGCGTTCTTGACGGAGCTGGGCTGGCTAGAGTGATTCTGGCTACACACCCTCCTCACGCAAAACAGGCGCCATAAGGACGTCGAGCTTCGGAAACGCCCGTTGCAAGAAGAAGAAGGTGCAAGAACCAGGAGTACAAGCTTTCAAATAGGTTTCATTATGCCAATTTTGAGCCAAGCATTGCATTATAAACCAAAGAACTTATGAAAAGATACAGAGGCTTAGAAGATCCCTCAGAATTTCGATTTTATCGGTGAGGTGCATCAAAAGCTCCTAGAATCACGTAAGGAACTGTGATTGCTGGAATCTACATCTTTAAGTTTGATGCGTGACAAATAACGTTTGATAAACAAAAAGATCGTTATCAAAGTGTTTAAATGGTACCTATCAGAGTGAAAACGAATAACTACTACAAATACTCGTATTATTGTTTGTATATATTGTTTTGAATTACGTACGGCTTAGGGCAAGATGCGACATAGTGGATCATGTCGGTCCATCTCTGGGTGATACTGGTAAACTCTTTAAACTCTCATTTAGATTAAGCATGTAAGCATTTAACTGCTAGATATACGTATACCTTTACAGGGTGGAATACATATTAATGCGTATACTTTTACTACAAAGAAGCTTTATTAATTAAATTTTATTGAGGATGTAACCCTTATTATGCAACTAGTACTTACATTTAATTACAGAAGCCTTATATTTAGACGCGGATTTCGATGACGCTGCTTCTGTTGAAAGAAACAAATAATTCTTTTATAACGTTCTAAATCTATATCCTGGGTTCCGAACCTGGGGGTAATTACCCCTCCGGGGGTAAATCAGCCATACTTCGGGGATAACAAAGAACCTAATTATTTGGTCAAATCTAAATAATAAGAAAATACTATATCTACATAATAATACTACAAAATAAAGCATGCGCTCCTTCTTGCTAGCGAGCCCGCGGGGTGCCGAGTGTGGGAAGCGGGGCGAGATTTTCTCCTGATGATGACATTATTAGAGACGAAGATGTATCGGCCAAATTGGAATTTCTTGGACTGATGATAACATTTTAAAGTCGGGGTAAAATCTGTTTTCCTAATAGGTTACAGGGGTACAGTATTGGAAAGGTTAGGAAACACTGAACTAGATAGTGGACATCAAACGTGTGAAGCCACACAATCTTATGCAAATCATTTTGAAACCTGAAACTTAAAAGTTAAGATGCTAACAGTGTTAACAGACAGCGATCAACTATTTATCTCTCGCATTTCTTTCGTTCACGATTGTGTATCGGTCATTCTCAACTGTTTAAGTATTCTATAAGATTCACTCTCACTTTCGATTTAATTTATTCGGATTTCTGATATATGTCAAATGCCTAACACTGCCTGCTTCTACAGACATAGCGACATTTTGCCGTGTAACGGCGCAATGCATATCAAACTAATGTCTAAAATGGCAGCTACCGAAATCGGAAGTGAGGTTTATTTTACAGAATCAGAACTACGGACCTGATTTTTGAGCGTCCATGCAAATATCTACTAAGTCTGTGAGAATGTGGCCAATGGTAGGGGTATCGAGCGCAGTATAAGACGACGACAGAGGGTAGACCGATATGTCTGCCAATAACATCTACCCGCTTGCAACAGTGCCGAAATATCGGAGACTCAAAAACGCATCGTTATTCTAAAACCGTCCACCTCTGCTCCAAACTTCATAGATTGGACCTATGTATGGTCTCATTTTTCAGATGAGATCTGTTTATTATTAATCATGTTAATGACCCAATGTACTCACCATTAGTAGATTTGTAGACTTCACCTGAAAAAAGTGGAATAACTATTAAAATAAACGTTTGAATTCCGTTATAGAGAAAAAACGAGGAGCTCGATTGCGCAAGTGGTTAGCGCGTTCGGCTGCGATCGTTGAAGTTAAGCAACTTTCGCAGTGGTCGGTCATTGGATGGGTGACCAAAACTTTACTATCTCGAGCTCCTCCGTGCTTCGGAAGGCAAGTTAAGCTGCTATTAACTTGCCTTCCGAAGGGTGCTAAAGACTGCAGATGCAGCCGGGACCAACACTGCATCTGCAGTCGTTAGCACCCACCAATCGCACTGTAATACACTTTTATTAAAAAGTAATTATATAACTACATATAATATTGAGTGGAGACCGCGACTTGGTAAACTTAGTGTGGGACGCCCTGAGACAAGATGGGATGATGACATTCGTAGGCTGGCTGGAGTGGGCTGGATGAGAGTGGCAGAAAATCGGGAGTAGTGGCGTGCATTAGTGGAGACCTATGTCCAACAGTGGACGAGCATGGGTCGATGATGATGATGATGATATAACTACAAAATATTATTAAGATGAGATTTAAAGAAATCAATGCTTACTTTCGTAAGTGTGGTGTGCGTAGACACTCAGTATCTGTAATGAAAAACACAAAATATAAATGAATTGTGTAATATATGTGCTATACATACACATAACTACGTTGAACAGCAATGTTATTAGTTATAACGACAAAGAATATTACAATAGTTACAGAATAAAAAATCTTAGGCAATAAGCTATGTAGTCAATTATCTAGACGAAATATATAGTCATTTTGCGATACAGACATTAAAGAGGGTTAGTTACACTGCGACTTAGACAATCTAGGTACTAATCTAATCTAGTACCCTGAAGCTTCGGCTCCAGGCTGCCCCACGTATCCTGGTGGGGGCAACAAAAGCCGAGTCCGGAAATATACAACGTTTAAAGACTCAGAGGAGGTGGAGACAGGAAGGAGAAAAGGCTGTAAGACATAACTCTTATCCTAGCGAAGGTGCACACGGCGCGACTAGGAAATAGGAGAGTGAGTGGCGATAGGCCTTCGGAGCACAGGGCGGCGGATTGCCACGCTCCGCCCCACTGCGCCGTATGACAAGAGACGGGCCGACCATCTCTGACCACGTCATGGGCACCCTTCTGCTATTAGGGGAAAGCCCGCAAAGGGCCAAGTCGCTGAGTCTTCAGTACCGGAACTAGTCGGACCAGCGCCCCCAGACTGAGAGATGTCCAAGTGACCGTTAGCTTCACAGTGACTCCCACCACCCGCGGCTCCGCTCTTCTCTTCGCGGAGAGAGTAGGGATCGTGGGTGTCATAGGGGATGGGGGCGCTTCGCCCGCCCTTCGCGCCCCTGATACTTCGGGGAGCTGCACATCGGGGAGGGTTCAGCAACAGATAATCACTGGCGAGTTCCCACAATTTATCCACACCCTCGACATGCATTTTCGCAATTGCGATCCTCGCAACTGCGTGCCGAGTGACTGGTGCAGGAGTATTTTCTGGTTTTTACTGGGTAAGTCCCTGCTCATTTCACCGAGCTTTCGGGCTGATGAATAAGTTTGGAGAATGCCACAGATGTCCTCGTTTCACTCTCAGTGGCAATATGAAGGTAGCAAAAAGGTTTATGGAAAGGAAAAATTGTAAAGATGCCACAGTTCTGACAAAGCGTTATTTACATCCAGTAAAAAGAATGCATCTACAATGAAATTGCACATTGCGTAAGGGGCCATTCAAGTATTACGTAAGCAGTATTGGGGGCAGGGACTTTGCTTTGCTTATTTTTGATGACATGGTGGGGTGGTGGGTCGAAATAGTGATTACTACAGCATCATAGATTCGGGTGTCATGGACTAAAGAATTGCAATTAATATATATACCAAAAGTTTCGAAAGAAGTTCGTTTTGTTCGTAATAGTACTTTTTTTTGTTCTTTGGTGGTTTCCGTTTCACACCGAAATTTCGCCAATATCCCGTAGTGAGAGAAACACGGTATGAGAGAGATTGCTCGGTATTTATACAAATAAAAATTTTATATTTAATCGTAATAGTACTTATTAAGTTTATAATATTTGTACGTTACTCTATGTTGAATACTGTGTCAATAAAGTTTGTTTAAATGAATATTATTTGCCTTAAAATCCTCTATCCTAAGCCTATTTAAGTACTGCTGCTCTTGAAACTCATGAAAGCTCATGAATCAATAAAAAAACAGAATACATTAAAGGAAAAATGCATATAGGTACCAATATAAATATACCAATGTTTATGTAAGTACGGGAGGGGGGGCGGGGTTAAAAGCTTTGCTTACTTTTTCTGACAAGGAGGAGGAAGGGGTAATTATTGTCATAAATCTGCTTACGTAGTACTTGAACGGCCCCTAAGACTTTAAGCAAGTAAGAGTGTGTAAGGAATATGTAAAAATCACTTACGCTGAGTGCGCACAAGCAAAGGATTACTCTCAACCACTGCATGCTTCGGCCTTGGAACTAAGTCCCAATAAGACCAATGGAGTCAATATGACTATGCCTTGCATATTCGGATGGTCAGTTTTTATACTTCTTTATGGATGATATGTTTACGTATGCAAACACATTGATACACCAACTGTGCAATCACTCTCTTTGTTTTTGATCAGCAATAAATTTTAATTGAATAAATGTATGTGACAATGTAATCTGCATTCATAATTTATATCTTAAACAGTGTGAACAAACATACATAGAATTTAACGTACAATGCTCGATTTTTGATTCGCTGTAAACAGTGTACCCACCAAAAGCATTTTTATGTAAAATGTTGCCAAGACGAGACGACTTATAATTCGCACTGTTATCAGTTAATCTAAAAGTTATCGTGATCGTTAATCTAAAAGTTAGATCTCATGCAAATCCAAGCTTCTTACTCTACGCGCCCTAAATCTACAAGACCTAACATCACAAACTCTACACCTTCGTCAAAATAACTGGCTTGGCCATTTCGCTATATTCACATGGTCGTAAGGGGAAAAATGTATCCACTGTTCATTACTTTTCTGTCAGAGACGTATCAGGGTTTTCAGATATCAATAAAACCTAAAGTAAAAGAGCTGTGTAATTATAACTGAATATGTTTAAAAAAAAGTCCGGTATAGACAACATACAGGGTAAATAAAACTAGTTTACACGAAATTTATTTATTTATTGACGTTTCGCAGCATTTTCAGGTCTGCATCGTCAGAATAATGATTTTTTATTTACTTTGTCGAGCTACCTTCGAAAGACTTTTATTGAGCGCTCAATAAAAGTCTTTCGAAAGTGAAAGGGTCTTTTAAAGAAGAGAATGTATCTTCTCTGAATGAAATGGCGAACGCGTATCTCTTTGGAAGTTTTTAAAAGAATTCTAATTTTAAAGTTGAACTATGAGAGGAGAGCGTCTAGTTCCGCATAGGTATTCTGTAAGATGCAATCTCTCTTACGATCTCATTCTTACGATTATTCGGATTTCTGACAAATGTCGAATATCGAATATGCGTCAGTCGCATGGTCTCCTCATTACAATGTACACGCTAAATCTTACGAGCTGAAATTAGAAAGGTTGAAAATTTCTTTCCTAGAATCCCGGCGCAAATATCACGAGTTAATTTACCTATATAAAATTGTACACTCACTCCTCGACTCACCGTTTCTTACCTCAACGCTTAGTTTTAATATTAGATTTAGATCGCGTAATCCCACCCATAGGGTATTTGCTTTGCAAGTTTATAAAAACAACACGTCCTTTTATTATCCAATCACAAACATTTTTTTTTTTTTTTTTTTTTATTTTTATTTATTGTGATAAAAACGACAAAGAGCAATTACATTTATCACACATTTACATTTTTAAGTTTCACACATTTTAAATGGATGTCATAATATGTCATAAAACGTCAATATTAATATAATATACTATAAATAGGGTAAGCATTTCAAATAAATATTATATGTTTTAACAAAAATTAATGTCAAGCGCTATCCTCATTGTCAGCGCAAACAGTATTGCTCCATTGATCCGTCAGACTTTCACAATAACATAATAATGCTGACTTGATGGTAGACCATGGTAAACATGTGTCGTCAATACGATAACCTGCATGGGGATCATTCTTCCTTGGACATTTTTTGTAGTCGGCTTCTCGAATATCGGAAAGAAATCCAACGATTAATACTTCATTAACAAAGAGAAAATCGGTTAATTTGTACTTTTATTTAAGTGTTTTCTTTTTGTTGTTTAATTGTTGAAATTCGATTTAAATATTTTTCTTTTGTGTAAACTTCAGCCCATAAAATTTTGTCATGTTATGCCCACATATTTAGACTTACAGTTTGGTTTTATATTATTGTAACTGCTTTATTTTTTTTTTAATATTTAATTGTAACTTGTTTTGTGAACTTATAAATAAATAAAAAATCTAATACTGGCTGCTTCTACAGACATAGCGACATTTTGCCGTGTAATGACGTAATGCATATTAATCTATGGTCTAAAATTGCAGCTTCCGAAACAGAAGTGAGATTTCATTTTACAGAATCTCCCTACAGGAGCCTATTAATTTTTATAATAAAGGTAACGTCATAATTTAATTTGACATGAGGTGAGATTGCGTAAGAACTACTTTTCATCCCAGAAATTATCCTTTAAAGGGGTAAAAAGAGGAATGGAAATCTGTATGGGAAACCAATGTTTCCACGCAGACGAAGTCGCACCCACTGCTAAGACGATAAAATCCATCTATTATACGGAACCATTGTTGTAATGTATACTATTTTTTATTATCTTTACCTAATCTAATTTAGTGTCAATTTTTAATTTAAATTTAAGTCAATCAAATTTCTTTTATTTACTTCAAAATAAACACCGTCACAGACGGTAACAGACGTCTTCTTTAATTTTTACAACAACCATCTAATTAAATTCCAATATCTTTGTTTATATGTTAATATATGGTTAAAAACAACGCCATCTTTTATGTTGTGACTTGTTCATGTGTTCGTAATTATGTCTATTTCCTGTTGAAAACCGAAGCTTGTATATAACTCTAAGCATGCCCTGTCAGAATATCATCGCTGGTGCGACACAACGTCTCATCAGCTAATGCTGTGGCAGAGTCCTGGTTAGCCCTACACATTGTATAACCTTTAAACATGTTCTCTTTTTTAAGGATTCATAAAATCTATTTTCTTTCTTCCTTTACTTCACTTGGCTATTCGTTTTTGCTATTTATAAACTTGACAACAGTCTGTGCTTATCATGCTTTGTGAGAAAAGAAAAGGACAGACTGCAAACACGAAATAACCAAGCGAAGTGACAGCATGAAATCAATAGAATAAAAAAAACTGTTTGTAGGTCTGTGGTTAAACAAACGACACACTATATTTATAATGTTTGAACAAATGGGGCATTTATAATGTGAAAAAGAAAGTATGGTTCAGAACAATGGATTTATTTGTTCACTGCTGCATACATCAAATATTTTCTTTAAACAATGCTGTTTCAAATAGTTATTTAGGGGCAACATTCAATGTTGAATAAATAAAATAAAAAGAATTGAGAATTTATCACCTTCGCTTTTGTGTAGACTGTTGTGTTTGATGTCTGGCTTTTAGGGTTCAAGGTTAGGATAAAGGGGTTAGGGATAATATAGTGCGGAGCACCACCAGGCCACTAGATAATAGTGGCCGGTGTTAAAATGCCTTTGAAGCGACACATGAAATATCTGGGTGTAGTGATAGATAGCAGGTGGGGGTTCGACTGCGGCAATGCTGGCGGATAAGGGAGGTTGGAGGGCTGCGGCCTCCTTCTGTGAAGCGGTGATGCTCCAGAAGGAGGCCGCCGAGCGGGATCGGGAGATGGCCGATCCCGCTCGAAGAAGGCGGCGTCGCCGCGTCGGGCCAGATAATGGCCTGATGTACCGCCGCGGGTCGCTGGTGAGCACGACGGAGCTTGTGCTCATGGAAGCGACCTGCTGGGAGGGACCAAACCCCCGCATGGCCGGGGGGTGTCGTCGTAGGAGGGTGGATGGGGGAGGTTGCGAACACTCCCCCGAGAAAGGCTCCCCTGGAGGAAGCAGGGGAACAAAGGCTGCGGGTCCTCAGATGCGATACTCGATCCTGAGGCCCCATACAATGCCTGATGGCGGCCATCGCTGGGGTTTTAGTGGGTAAGCCTCCCCCTTCTGGGGAGGAGAGCCCCACATAACCACCATGTGGTATGCAATTTAATGCATTTCCCCAGCGTATCAAAAAAAAGGTGGGGGTTCGACGAGCATTTCCGACGCCTCGCCTTTTTCTTCTCCCTATTGTTGGGGGCCCGAGCGCAAGAGTCAGACGTCTTTATGCAGGTATAGTGCGTAGCATGGCGCTCTATGGCACCTCGGTGTGGGCAGACGCTCTGAGTCCTCGGGCCGTTGCTTCCCTCCACAGGGCGCAACGTGCTATGGCCTTGAGAGCCATAAGAGCATACAGGTCGGTGTCTCACACCGCAGCGTGCATTATTGCTGGCACTCCCCCGTGGGAAATTTCAGCCCACGTTTAGGCGGCTGCCTACCGCGTCAGGACAGACGCACAGAATGATGACCGGCGCCTGGCGCCGAGGGAGAGGGCCTCAGCTTTGGAGGAGGCGAAAATTGAGGCGTTCCGGACGTGGTTTGAGGAGCTCGAAGAGCAATGGGGCTCGGCCTCGGTCTCTGGCACTTTGTCCAGGACCTTGGAGGACATGTACCCCTTTCTCACCACATAGGCGGATCGGCACCTCGGGTCGCTCTCCTACCATCTGGTCCAGGTTCTTAGCGGCAACGGCTCTTTCGGCCGCTACCTGCACCGCATCGGCAGGGAGCCGACCCCCGAGTGCCACCATTGTGACACCGCTGAGGACACCGCACAGCACACTTTAGAGGTGTGCCCAGACTTCTCCCAGCGGTGGCAAGAGTTAACCGCCATCATAGGCGAGGATCTCTCCCTCCAAAACGTGGTCTGCATCATGTTGGAGGGGGAGGAAATGTGAGATGCGGTGAACTCATTCTGCGTCGACGTTATGACGCAGAAGGAGGACGCGGAGAGGGCCCAGGAAGAAGACCCAGAGGCCGCTCCTTGCCGCCGCCGAAGGTTGGGGCGAAGGAGGCGGATGTACGCCCGCCTATTTTCTCTTGACGGTAACCAGCGGGGTTCGGGCCCGGGAAGCCCGGGCCCTGCATTGCACCAGTTGCCGCCATTCGCTGAACCCCTGGATGCCCCGGGGATCACCGGCCCTCCCATTTTGGGGGGGTGAGTGGGGCTTGCCATAGGCGAGCAGACGCCGACGAGGTCGTGGATGTGTTCTCGCGAGTGCCCATGACCTTGTCCGGCCGACGCGTCCCTCCCCGACATGTCCTCTTCGTCAGAAGACGATGAGGATGCGGCGGTGACGGACATGCTCGCGCCAAGGCGTATGTGAGGCATCGGTGGGTTTTAGTCGGTAGGCCGCGGTACGGCATCTACTGAGGGGCATTCTGTCTGCCCTCAGATGCCGCGGAGAGTCCGACGTAAACCCGTGCACCTCAAAGCGTG